CAGGAGCTTCATGAGCCCAGATGGAAGTCCAGCTGATCTTTTCTAATAAATAACTGCTTTTAAAAATGGATTTGGGGACTTCCCTGGTGGCGCAAGGGTTAAGGCGCAACCTATGAAGCTGTCTGCAGCCACTGCAGCACGAGTTCGATTCCCCGCCAGGGAGCTACCCACATGGTGCAGCAGACCTCTCCTGGCTCGCCTGCTGCTCCCCTCAGCAGTGTACTTTGATCAATCTGCCTGTTCTGTTCCCCACTCTGTCTCTGGTGAATCCTCTCACCCTCTGCGCCTCTGGCCTGTTCCGCAGCTCTTGTATGCATAAATAAATAAATCTTTTTAAAAAAAGGGATTTGGGCTTTGTTAAAAATAATTTTTCTTTAAACTAGTAGGTAGGAAAGGCCCAAGTCATTTAGAGGTGAGTGTCTGCACTGTATTAAAAATCATTTTGTTAAACTTTCTATTGAAGGATCCTAACACTTCACTGGCAAGGCAGCCTTAGGTGCCACCTTGGGAAAAAAAAAATAGAAGTGGGAATGCAGGTATGTGGCTTGCTAAATGCCTGTCAGCCTTGGCACTTAGTCTATGTGGGTACCTTTAACACCTGACTGAATTCCACTGGGCTTTCTTCCAAGGTCTCTGCAGTAGCTGTTTTTCCCCTTTGAACCTAAAAGTGTGTATACATATTTTTAAATTTTAAATGTCTTTATTTAATGTTCCGTGCCTTCATCCTCCTTTCTTCTTCCTACTCCCATAATTCTCCGCCTGTCGTGGGCATTAGACTCACCTAGAGGACCAGGCCCTACTCCCACAGCTTCTGATTCATAAGTCTGGGGCCAGGCCCAGGCATCTGCATTTCTAACAGGCCCCCGGTGACGCTGCTGTTTGCCGGTGTGAGGACCATCTGAGAAATGCTGTTGTAGGCCATCAGGCCCTGCGCCTTTATTTCCCAGGATATTTCTGTTTTAGGTCAGCGAACTTGAAACCTGAAGAAATCTGTAGTTTACTTAGGTTTCTTTCTCTTTTAGGGGACACTTGGTATAGTGAGTTCTTTGGAGACATGTAATTTGTCTGACCTGTATTTTCCTGGTAAATAATTTGCTCATGTCATAGAAAGGCAAAACCTAAGAAACATTTGTAAAAGGAGTGAGCATCATCGGTGCTCGGCCACACTTGCAGGTGGGTTCCTGGAGGATCCCCTTCTGCAGTGGCGAGGAAGCGCCAGCGCGCTGTCCATCTGGGTCCCTAGCTCCGAGGTTCTGGGTGGAGACTCTGGTGCTCTCCTGCCCCAGTTGATATGACCTTGGGAGGGACTGCAGCTGCTGAGACCGTGGAAATCACACATGACTACACGTTTTGGCAGGTTTTGCTTTCAGCTGTTTGCTCTCACATGCTAAGTAGCATCTCCTGCCCCATCCCATTCCTCCTGTGCATGGGCAGGAAGAGAGAGTTGCAACACGTCCTTAACCCTTTTGGATGCATTTGTGCTGAAGGCAACTTTGTTCACCTGATACAGTATTATTCAGAGAGATGCCCTGAGGTTCCTGAGCCTGAGCTGAGCAGAATGGTGTGTTATCACCGTGACATCAGTGTCCGTACCGGTAACATGATGTGCTGCTTCTGCTCTGCCTCTTCTGTACTTGATAATAAAGTCGTCTGTGTACCTGAACTGTATCCGAATCGTCTTTGAATTTTTTAGATAAATACCTGAGTGTCAAAAACATGGTATCGTGAACAGGCTATACTGAAGAATATTGAAAAATTGAAAGAATATTTTACATGTGGCTCTGTTTTTACATCACAGAGCAGGGTGGATGGGTTTATCTTAGGCAGTAGGCGATGTGGTCACCCACTTCATGTGACTGGAAGTTCTGACGAGCCCCAGCGGACGGGAGGCCACCCTGGCTTTCCAAAGGTCTGAATGTTCCACCGATACTCTCAGAGCAGATATTTTCTAAGGGCAGCTTAGCTCCTCTGCAGACCTGGAGCATGTAGCCCTGGTCCGTGCAGTGCACCGTGCATCCTGCCGGGGCAGTGATGTGTCGGGAAATCGCGTGTCACTTCCCTGCAGTTCTTGTGTGATCCCAGCGACAGAAACCACCTGTGAACAGAAAGAATGAAGTTAATCAAAGTGACTCCTGGGAGAGAATGGACCCAAGCTTCTGTTTAATGTCGCAGTGCTGAAACAGAGCTTCAGCCTCTTCCTCGAAGCTACCCTTTATTTTTATTCAAAAAAGCTTGTAGAATTACAATTGTAACGCCGCATTTAGGTGAGAACACAGTTTTTGGGCCAGTTAACAAAAAGGGAAATTAGGGCCTCCCTGGTGGCGCAGGGGTTAAGGTCTCAGCACTATCAAGCTATCACCAGTCACTACAGCCTGAGTTCAAACCCTAGCCAGGGAGCTGACCCACAGGGCGCAGCAGACCTCTCCTGTCTCCCCGCTGCTCCCCTCAGCAGTGTGTCTCAATGGATCTGCCTGTTCTATCCCCACTCTGTCTCTGGGGAACGCTCTCACCCCCTATATCCCTGGCCTACACCCCGGTACTTGTATGCATAAATAAATAAAAATCTTTTTTTAAAAAAGGGAAACTATAGGTCTGGGGTAAGTGTCTTTTCTCCTTTGGCCCTTGAAGAGAATGTGGGTTGACCCTTTTCTGCTCTGACAGCTGCTTTCATTCCCACCCCTCGGGTGTCAACTTCTGAGCAGGAAGCACACAGGTCCCAGCTCACGCCACTGAGCGGAGTAACGGTGCTTGTTCGATGGCAGGGCTGTGTGGGCGCCGACAGCTAGACATGGAGAAGTGTAAGCACTGCAGGTAGCCTCTGGCATGTCCATGTTAAATTGTGGCCGATTCAGTACTTTGCCGTTTCTTTAGTGACAGGGAAGGCCCAGGGCCTCCATGCCGGCACTCGACAGCAGTCACTGGGTTCCTGGGCCGGTGTCTGTATCTAGGGCAGCGAGCGTGGTGACAGGCTGCAGGATCTCGTCTTGTGTCTCTCCTAATTCTATCCTCGCCTCAGATATTCCTTTTCAGTTAATAGATCCAACTGGGATTAATTGCAGGAGGAAGTCTACATGACTCATTAAACTACCAGCTGATGTTATAGTTCTGAAGACAGAGGCTCTTGCCCCAGCGGAGTGGCGGCGGTGCGTGTACACCCTGTCCGGAAGCTTCGCGCGCCCTCCCGCAAGGCCGGCCCGCCGTACGCACGCTTGCCCGGACCACAGGTCCATTGTGTTTCAGGCCCAGAAGGTGCTTCCCAAGGAAGTAGAGGCCCTGTCGTCTGGCGGCGGCGTTACTTGTTAGAGTGTTGCTCGTTCAGCCACTAGTTTGACTTGGCCCGGGATGGTCAGTGGAGGGCCTCTCCGCGCTTCCTGCCTCGTGTGATCGGCACGAGCAGTGTTCAAGGCTCAGCTTCCCACTCCAGTTGCCCTAGAATGGCCACCAAAGAAGCTGATGAAAGCCTGGCTGACCCGAGTGGGGTCTGTTTACCTCTCGTGCGCCGGACCCTGAGGCGGGCCCTCGGTGTTCATGGGAGGACCAGCAGGTGACCCGCCTCGGGAGCTTACAGCCCAGTAGTCAGACTGCCTGAAGGGCGCCGGCGGTGTTTTTACAGCCGCGTAGTTGACGTGGGCGTTTAATGTGAGATGATGTAGACAGAGGGAGACCAGCTAGCTGGTCAGGAATATTGTGCACGGGTCCTGGAGAGGGATTCAGTTTCAGTTGTGCTGTTTCAAAGGCAAAGTTGGGCCCTGTACGTTCGTTTACGAAATACCATAACTCCCAGTCACTCGGAAGCCAGGAGCAGACTCTGTAGCTGCCGCCTCTCCCTGAGTGTAGCCTCTGGTCTGGTGAGGGGACATGTTCAGTGACTCAGTTGGATTATGCCACAAAGAATCGTAAGTGACAGAAACAGAGGTGCTGAGAGTGGACTGGGGACCCGCTCCAGTCTGGCCTGGGAGTGAAGGGCCCTGAGGACTTACTTCTCTGACGAGGCGAGGGCGAAGGTGAAACTTCAAGGGTGAAGGCCTTTGAAGGGTGAAGGGCCACTTGGGTGGGGGTGGGACAGCACGTCCGGCACAGGGATGCACATGCTTCCACAGCAGGGACTGAAGTGGGGACCCAGGGGCTGGGCTGAGGGGAGTGCTGAAGGGGTATGGGGTGTCGGGAAGGAGGGGCACGTGGGTGATGAGGAGCTGCAGGCCCATCGAGCACTTGATGGCCCCTACCGTAGGGAGCTCAAGTGGGACTGCGCGGGGCCTCGTCACCCTTTGTCCTCACGCAGCTCAGAAGTGCCAGCCGTCTCCTGCTTTACTGATGAGATAGATGCACAAGCCCAGACGTCGGCGACTTGCGATGAATAACCAAGTCACATTGCTAATAAGTGGCAGAGCTTGGGTTTCGACTTGGCACGCCACTCCAGAGCCTGCCCTGCCCATTCACTCCTAGCGCTAATAAACAGTTAACAAAAGGCAGCAAGTACAAGGTCAGCCTGTGTAGAGACTATTCCAGCATCCAGATCTTAAGAAATGTATGGGCCTCCCCTGTGGTGCAGCAGTTGAGCGCTGGGTTGCGAAGCTGCCCGCAGCCTTTGCAGCGCCGGTTCGATCCCCGGCTGCTCCCCGGCCACTGGAGGAGGGTCCCGCATGGTGCGCAGACCTCTCCTGCCGCCCGCTGCTCCCCTCAGCAGTGTCCTTCGGTCCTTCTGCCTGTTCTGCTCCCCGCTCTGGCTCTGGTGGATTCTCTCACCCTCCGGTGCTTCTGACTGTACCCAGTGCTTGTATAAATAAATAAATAAATCTTTAAAAAAAAAAAAAAAAAGAAATGTAGACAGGGAGAGGCCGTGTACCCAGGGGACACAAGTGTTCGTTCTGGTGGGAACCAGCCACCCCTGTCTGGCCCGGTGGGGAGAAGGTCCCCGCAGATGACCCCTGAGCTCCCCCTGATTGCATCTGGGGTTCCCTTCACTGTAAGGTGATCACGTGTGTGTTTTTCCCCTCCAGCGACCATGAAGGACACCAGGTTGACAGCACTGGAAACTGACGTACCAATTGTCCCCAGCACAGGTAAGGGGTCCATTCAGCCCAGTGGTGGGCTGGGCATAAGTGTGCGGTGGTCAGGGCTTTACATGGACGGCCTGAGCTGCCTGCCGGGAAGGACCACCTGTGGCCTAAAGTACCTTGTCCACTTCAGGACACTGTGCTCGTGGCTGCTGCCCAGCCAGACAGTGTGGTGCACTGTGTGCGTCACTTTCTCCTTCACAGTCACACTGTTGGTGAGCCCCTTCACAGGCCACGCGCGGGCACTGAGATGCTGCCCTGTCCTGACTCACATGCTAGGACTTGGCGGCCCGTGACTCGGGTCGCCTACGTCCAGCAGCAGACCACAGAGGTATCCTGGAAACTGAGTTGAGCCCTGTGTCCCGGGCAGGACTCTGAACTAGTGCAGAGCTTCTCAGCCTGGCTGTGCCTTAGACATCCACTTGGGTTATGGAACAGACCAAGTGTGCTACTGGAAGCCACCCCTTAATCTGCTCGGGGCGGGACCGGGGCTCCGGATCTCTTCCAGGCTGTAGGTGACTCTGGGAACCCCTGAATTAGCACTTGCCTCTTAAGATAGCTTTACCTGTCCCTTGTGTTAATTAGATTCTAAGGGTGACTCTTTGCTGCAGGGTTTCTAGGCACTGGTGGGTCTGACCCAGGATGTGTTGTCCTAAATGCTGGGGCGCATCTGTGGCTGCAGGAACCGGGCTCAGAGACCCGCCCGCCCGCTGAGCTGCAGTGTGTTTGGCAGCAGGAGTGCCCCGCGTGGCTATGGGGAGGGTGTAGGGACGCCAGGTGAGGCGCTTGCCCAGCTGATGGCCCGCATGTCCTGTCTGCTGGGTCACCCTTCACTGTCGTCCATCCCTGCCTCACGTATGTTCGAGGAGTAGTGAAATAAGGCCAGGATTTTTGCCTTGAAGGCCAATGTCTGTTTACACCCGGGGACACCATACCAGAGGGGTCGCAGCACTTTGTCACCGAGACGGGGAGCTTTCTGAGTTTGACTCTGAATTTTTAAAATTTCGTGTGTGTTCTTCCCACTGTACCTGTTCCACAAGTCCGCTGAACGTGACTGAGCCCACTGTCATGTGTGGCCAGGTGTCGCTATCAGTGAGGCGCTGAATATCACGCATCATGAATCTCGAATTGTCTCAGACGTTTTCATTATTGCAGTTGATTTGAAGTAGCCAGGTTTTTCAGGTTCAAGGTTTTATTTATTTTTTTAGAAGATATTTTATTATTTATGTGTGCAAGAACCGGGGTACAGGCCAGAGGTGTGGAGGGTGAGAGGATTCACCAGACATAGAGTGGGGAGCAGAACAGGCAGACTGACTGAAACACACTGCTGAGGGGAGCAGTGGGCGAGACAGGAGAGGTGTGCCGTGCCATGTGGGACTCTGGCCGGCCGGGACCGAACCAACGCTGCAGAAGCTATGGACAGCTTCACAGCACTGCGCTCAACTGCCTGCGCCACCAGGGAGGCCCTGAGGTTTTTTTTTTTTTTTTTTTTTTAAAGGACTTTGATTTTTTTTTTTTTTTTAAGATTTTTATTTATACAAGCACTGGGTACAGTCAGAAGCGTGGGAGGGTGAGAGAATTCACCAGAGCCAGAGCGGAGAGCAGAACAGGCAGAGGGACGGAAGTACACTGCTGAGGGGAGCAGCGGGCGGCAGGAGAGGTCTGCGCGACATGTGGGACCCTCTCGCCTGGCGGCTGGGGATCGAACTGGCGCTGCAGAGGCTGCGGGCAGCTTCGCAGCCCAGCGCTCAACCGCTGCGCCACCGGGGAGGCCCGCCCTGAGGTTTTAATGTAGGAAAAAGTTGGTCGGCATTTGTCTTCAGCTGCCACGGTTTGTCCCATCACTAACCTTTTTAGGCAAAGCAGAATGTTATTCAGCAGCATTTCTGGCAGATTTTGTTTTCTAGGATGAACCTGTAGCTGAAACTTGGAGCTTGGGCAGGCCTTTGGTTACTAAAGCTTGGTGGCCTGTAGCAGTCATTTAGACAAACTTTCTGTTTCTGGTTTGTCTCCATAGTTGCAAAAGAACAAGAAATTATCTTCCTAAAGCATTTCTGCAAGGCCTGTCTGGTGGTCAGTTGGCAAATGCACAAGTGTCTGGTCGTGCCTCCTTCTGGAACATAGCTTTCCTTGTGTTCGCTATGTTTGATTTGAAGATGACTTGTCATGGATATTGTTAGTGGTGGTTTCAGATTTTTTTTTGTGCCATATATTGAGGTCACAAGTCGATATTCTTTTTTTTAATTCATCGTCACAGAATATGGAGTATTCCCAAATAAGATTTTTCTTGTAAGACAACAAGAGTACAAACTAAATGTAGACCTTAAAGGTTATTTTGTTTGTAATAAACATCATAAAACAATTCTATAAATGTTAAAATAAAAATATTTAATTCCTGTTATTTAGCCACGTGTTAGAATTTTTATCAGCATTGGCTCAGAGTGGTAACTGCAATTTGTAAAGTTATCTAACTAATCTGCTCTCCTCATACTCATATTGTTAGTTAATATATTTGAATTTTCTTGTTTTTTAATATAAACATTTATCGTTGAAGCTCTTTTTTTTAAATAACAAGTATACATTCACACTTAAACCAGCAGAATTTCAGCCTATAAAACACAAAACTTGGACTTTACATGGAGAAAGCCTTCCCTCTGTTTGGAAGTGAGTGTCTAGGCATCAGCGGAAGCACAAGCGTGCTTGCGTGCCCCCACGTCACCACCCGGGTTACGAGTGAGGGCGGCCACTGGCCGTGCGGTCACTGATTGCACACGCAAGCTCCAGGCTGCCAGCTGTGAGGCTCAAGTAGGCAGTCGATGCCTTCTAAAGGTCAAGGCCAGATGGAGCCAGATGCCAGGTTTGGGCCTTTGTGGGGACTAAAACTGGACTTTGTAAACCTCTGTTTTCCATGGTTGTGGAGATTGTACTCAGTATTCTGTTGGATCACATCTGATGTGGAGCTTATGCTTGGTTCAAGATTCTTTCTGTGAATTGGAAAGTATCTTTTATTTAAAGGTAGTGACTGGCAGCCACGCCACTCTTCAGATTGGGTGCTCGGGGGCCTCTCTGAGATGGTGGCATTTTGAGTGGAGACCTGAAAGTCAGCCAGGCAGGGGCCAGAAGGGGAGCACAGCTGGCCAGCGGGCACAGCAGGCGCCAGATCTTGAGCAGTGTCCCGGGCTTGAGAAGACGGAGAGTAGAGCAGAGAGGAGGAGGCCCAGTGGCACGAGAAGAGCCCCTGGCTGTCTGGATGGCGGGGTGGGGGGCCGCGCCTGGGTGGGCTCCTCTGGCTCCTGGGAAGCCATGGGATGATGCTAAACTGGGGGTGGCAGATTCAGATTTCCACGTTTCAGAGTCTCTTGTGGTGGTTTGGCAGTGAATGAGTTCTAGCAGGTGAGTGATGAACAGTGCAGGGGGTGGGGGTTGGGGAGTGGCGGGGGGTGGGGCTTCTGTCTCTAAGAGGAGATGGTGAGGTATGACAGCCAAGGGATAGGCGAAATCAGAGGGTGTGTGGACAGGCCAGATGCGGGGTGGGCATGGCTGGAAGAGTCAAGGTGTCAGCTAGATGTTTGCTGTGGCCTGATGGTCATGCCTCTGTCTGGGATCCAGGAGACTGGCAGAGTGACAGGGCTGGGGCGGGATGTGGGCATTGGCAGTCATGGCTCCCTAACACCAATAGGGGCACCTGTCACTGTGTGTGGTAGACGTGGTCCCTAAAGGTGATAACACACTGCCTGGAACGCTTCTTGAGGTCGAAGCTTTCCAAAATGTGTGAGCCCGGATGCAGACCCCTGGCTTTTCCTGTCTCCTGTTGCCTGTCCCTGACGAGCTGCTTCCCTGGGGCTGTCCTTCAGTGGCTTCTCCCAGCCGTCTCCTGCTGTGACGCCTGCTGTACGCGTGCATCTCCCCACACGCCGTGTCCTGTGGGGGCAGGCCCCTTCCCGCCTTCAGGCCCCCAACCATACCCACAAACGTAGGATTCTTTGGGGGCCTCGCAAATAAGTCGGTCTTCCCAACCTAGCACCCTGCACTTGGACCCCTAGGACGATGACCTGAGTCTCAGAAGGGGCACACTCCAGCCACAGGATGATGTGACTCTGTGGGAGGTTTTTGCCTTTTTTTTTTTTTTTTTTTTGGCCCCCCTGTGGGAGCTTTTTAAAACGTCAAAAATCCTTGCACTCAGGTCACTTAAATGAAGACTTGAACACAAAGTCCAAACTTTATTATTTTGGAAACTGTGATTAGGGTTTTAGAACCAAAGAGAAAACTTGTTGCCACAAATTGTTCTAATATGTTTTAAAATAAAACCTTAATTTTGCCACCTATATGAAGCATTTGGAAAGCGAGACTCCAGTAACCTGACTTGCACACCTGCATCACACTTCCCGGCGGCAGAGGAAGTGCAGAGGCCCGGCTGGTCAGCCCTGGCCCGCCTGCTGTGCGGGGCGCCGTCCGTCCTCGTGGCCTCGCTCAGGTGGCCCAGCAGGGGCTGTCGGCCTTAGGAGCGGCCGCACTCGCGCCGCTGTCTTCCCAGCCCAGAGACAAACTCAGTTGCCCTAGGCTGAGATGAGGAAGGGAGCAATTTTTTTGGAACGGAACCCCACTGGGGACAGATGCGCTCACATGTGTGAATTGCGTTCATTTGTGATTTGTCTAAAGTTGAGCTGCACCAGCCGGATCAATGCGCTGTTAAAAAGGCCTCTTGAAAGTGGGGCCCGCCATGCCGGCTGGCGTGCCGCTGGGCCACGTGCGCACTGCGCAGCCCGTGTGGGTGTCCACCAGGGAGGGTGCTACGTGTGCTTGTCCTCATCCCGCGGGGTCCTGGGTGAGCGAGGAGGCCGGCAGCTTGATGTTAACCTTCACAGAAAGGTTTGATCTAATCCAATTCACAATGAGGTGAAAATTGTTTCGGTTTCAGTTGGAACTCTTTTATGCTGTCTTACCCGTTGTGGTCACACATTCGGAGCCCTTTCAAATTAACTTCCTTTTTGATTCACCTGTAAGAGATTTGCTGTCAGTAATGAATTTAGACATTTTTTTTTATAGAGGCATGTTTTATTTATTTGTTTGTTTGTTTGTTTGTTTTGTTTATACAAGCACTGGGCACAGTCAGAAGCACAGGAGGGTGAGAGAATTCACCAGAGCCAGAGCGGGGAGCAGAGCAGGCAGAAGGACCGAAGGACACTGCTGAGGGGAGCAGCGGGCGGCAGGAGAGGTCTGCGCGCCATGCGGGACCCTCCTCCGGTGGCCGGGGAGCAGCCGGGGATCGAACTGGCGCCGCAGAGGCCGCGGGCAGCTTCGCAACCCAGCGCTCAACCGCTGCACCACCGGGGAGGCCCTGAATTTAGACATTTTAATAGATTTTTTTTTCGTGGCTAATGATTTTTGATTCTCCAAGAACCAAATCAGTAACTACCCTAAGCTATAATTAAATGAGTGTGGTTAATAAGAAGTTAGTATTTGCCCATTTCTGGAGATGTTGCTCCTTTAAATTTTGTGTCCCGGCAGAAGGAGCTTATCTCTTTAGAAGGACTTTCCTTTAACAGTGTTTCTCCAATAAGACTGACGGATCACCTGGATAAAAATTACCTGGGGTGCTTATTAAAATGCAGTTTCTTGAGCTCAACACTCAGTTCTGAAATGGGTGCAGGAAATTGCATTTCTCACAAGATTCTGGGTGGCTTAATACTCATGAATGCCTGAGAAGTGTGACTGACTCAAGGAAAAGCAAGAGGAGCAGGAGGACACACCTGAACTTGACTTCAGATGACGTGCGCAGTCACTGGCTCGGGCTGGCCACCTATGCCCTGCTGACCGTGAGGCACGGCAGAGCTGCCATCATCCTCCCGGGCAAATAGGGTCATACCTGCTCCACTCTGGAGTGGCCAAACCACACGTTGGCTTCTTGTCATATCCTAGGGTTTGGGGCTTTGGTCAAGGAGATCTGGGTGCAGATTTAAGTTTGCCTGCAGGGAGTTCTTGGGGGGACAGTGAGCATGTTCGGTCATGCCATTTGTGCCTCTTCCCTGCAGTCTGGTAGTGGCACCGATGAAGCGCCTTCAGAGCCTCTGATGCTCGTCCTGGCCCCGGCGCAGCACATCGCGAGAGAGAATGGCCCAACAAGCAAATATCGGGGAGCTCCTCTCCATGCTGGATTCCCCTGTGCTGAGTGTGCGCGACGACGTGACGACCGTCTTTAAGGAGAACCTCTCTTCTGGTAGGCAGACCTCCCCTCCCACCGGCCCGCATGCCACAGGCTGCTTGGGAGCTGACTCCATCCCACTGGTTGGTTTGGGTTTTCATCTTCTAGAAGGAGTCTTTAAAACCACCATGACGGCACGCACTGCTGGGTTTGCTCCTTGTTATGCTTTTTGTTTGTTTGTTTACATGCTCTTTTATGTACTTTTAGTTACTTTTTTGGGTTCGTCACATAACTAATTTTGGAAGTATAACTTCACCCCTCCATAAGCGTACCCTACCCCACTCCAGAGCTGCGGGCCTCTCCCTTTTCTTACCCTGCTCCCTCCCTGTCCTCTATCCCCACTGGCCACCAGAATATTTTTTGGGGGTCTAAGAATTCCTTTTGCTGTGCTCTGTCAACTTGCTTTTTATAGCTATTGATGTGCCACATATAAGTGAAACCGTCTGGAAACTGCCTGCCACTTTCTGGCTCATTTCACTCAGCAGCAGCACCTCAAGGTCCATCCATTTTGTTCCCAAAGTCACGACTGTATCATTTTTAACAGCTGTGTAGTACTCCAGTGAGTCGCTGCCCCCGGTCTCTGTCCAGGCCCACCTTGGCCCTTCAGGCTGCTCTGTGCTGGCTGCAGCATTGTGGGCGTGAACGTAGGGGCACGTGTATGTTTTCATACCAGTGTTTGCTCCTCTAGGTTAAAGTGTTAATTATGGAGGTTTTCAAACATACGCTCAGAAGTAGGGGTTCACATTGTGAACCCCACCAACCCAACTTCATCGTTTCTACTTCTATTGCTTCATTTACCTCCTTGACCTCCCCCCTGACATTTTAAAGAAAATCCCAGATATAGTCCTTGATCTGTAAACCATATATGCAATTTTTTTTAAAGATTTATTTATTTATGTATATAAGAACTGGGGTACAGGCCAGAGATGTAAGGGGTGAAAGGATTCACCAGAGACAGAGTGGGGAACAGAACAAGCAGACTGACTGAAATACACTGCTGAGGAGAGCAGAGGGCGAGGCAGGAGAGGTCTGCTGCACCATGTGGGCAGCTCCTTGGCTGGCCGGGGGGATCGAACTCGCGCCGCAGAGGCTGTGGACTGCTTCACAGCGCTGCTCTCAACCCCTTGTGCCACTAGGGAGGCCCCATATATGTGATTTTTAAGATGAAAAGTGCTTACCTTCTCTTAGCTAGAGAGATACAAATTTAAACAGTCCCCTTTTTCGCTTACCAGGTTGGCAAAAACTAAGTATTGATCCTGTAAAGGGCCACTGTTAGTATATCATTGGGTGGCAGCCTTTTGGGGTGTCATTAGTTTAAAAACATGCACCATTTGGCCTGTTACAAGAATCTGTATTTCATGGTAGCTTTGAATGAAGTACATTGAAAAATTGGAAAAAAACCAAGAAAGATCCTTCCCTGGGGGACTGGTTAAGTTAGCCGCGTGGAGCCATGCTGGGGTGCCCTGGGAGTCAGTGCAGAGGACGAGGCTAGGCGCTGACCTGGGAAGGCATGCACAACACCCTGTGAAGTGGGCGTCATACCCACAGTGCGAGACCCCAGGCAGGCCGAGGGAAGGGGGACTCCGCCTGTGTGTAAGCGCTGTCACGTACCCTGAGTCTTTAACGGCAGGTATGAGGGTTTTTTTGGTCATTAAACAGCAATAAAAAAAATCAACGATAGCATTTCACAAGCTAAACTTGGACGTAGCCTGTCCAGCCTAAGTAACTGTCAGGAGGCAGGAACGGCCTGTGTGTGGGGGGGGGCGGGGGTGGGGTGGGCAGGTCTGGGTGGCGCGTTAAAGTGAAGTTTGGTGTTTGGTGACAGGCGACCCCCGGAGGTCAGTTAGACTGTCAAAGGGAGTTACTGTTACTGGTTTGCCTTGTCTTTATTCAGACCGTGGTCCAATGCTTGTGAACACCTTGGTGGATTATTACTTGGAAACCAGCTCTCAGCCGGTGCTGCACATCCTGACCACCTTGCAAGAGCCACACGACAAGGTACCGGCGGGGGCCGGGCGTGCCAACGTCCCCTGCAGGTGCTGCGCGGCATCTGCCCGGGCCGCCTCTCCACTTCTCCCTGCCACAGGTGCCATCGCTCCTCACGGTAACAACACGCACAACTATGAGCAGGACTGATGTTTCCTGAAAAGTTGACGAAATGAAACAGGCATTTAAAGCCCATAGTGGTTGAAATAAGCGTAGTTCTGGTGCTGCAGATGTGCCCCTGACACTCTGACCCCTAAGGTCCCGACATCTTTAAACCCATGCTTTGAAGGGGGAAGTTCAGGCTTTTCATCAGTCTGTAAGTGCAGGCTGCTAGAGGGGCCTATTGAAGGGTTCCCGACACCCCACGCTCTGGGCTCCCCTGTGTTTTGTTTTTGCTTTCATTCTTGCTGGTGTAGGTAGCTAATGGCCCGTTGTAACTGGAGCCTTGGTAAGGTTTGAGGTTCTCTGTGTCAGCGAGTTCGTTAGGATTGAGGGCCTTGCATCATTTGCCTTTTCCAGTACATCTCCCCCTGGCTGCAGTTTAACCTCTACTGCCTGATTGATATTTGGGAATCAACCATCGCGCTGGGCCACCTTGGCAATAAGTGACAGCTCCCAGCTCCAGCCTCTCACAGCTTCAGCCGCAGCCACAGCCACAGGCCCAGCCCAGTGGTTGCTGTATGAAGTGGCCTGTGTGTACTTTAAAAAGAGGGCTTTTTTTTTTTTAAGCATACAGGAGCTGGGATACAGGCCAGAAATGTGGGGGGCGGGGAGGGGTGTGAAAGGATTCACCAGAGACAGAGTGGGGAACAGAACAGGCAGATTGACTGAAGTACACTGCTGAGGGGAGCAGCGGGCGAGACAGGAGAGGTCTGCTGCGCTATGTGGGTTGCTCCCTGGCCGGCTGGGGATTGAACTTGTGCTGCAGAGGCTGAGGATTGCTTCACAGTGAGGTGCTCAACCCCTTGCACCACCAGGGAGGCCCCCTGAAAAGAGGGCTTTTAAGGGGGTCTCCTCCCTCTTTAGACCTGTCTTGTGGGGATCCCATTTCTCAGGAACTGCAAACTGACTGCCTTCTCTCCAACCAAATGCAGTTAACAAAAGATTGATTTATAAAAGAACTGGGGTACAGTCAGAGGTGTGGGAGGGTGAGAGGTTTCACCAGAGACAGAGTGGGGAGCAGAACAGGCAGACTGACGAAATGCGCTGCTAAGGGGAGCAGCGGTTGAGACAGGAGAGGTCTACCGCACCATGTGGGTTTTTCCCGGGCTGGTCGGGAATTGAACTGGCACTGCAGAGGCTGCGGACAGCTTCACAGCGTGGCGCTCAACCCACTGCGCCACTGGGGAGGCCTACAGCTAACAAGGTTTTAAAAACATCTTGAACTTGACCTCTTTACCTGCTTGACCCTTGTGTCCCATCAGAGGGTTTAGGGCCTGGAGTGCGTGGCTGCTGCCTTTATTTGTGTTAACGCATCTGCGAGAATTTCCCTTAATGCACGACTCGCAGCCTTCCAGTTCTGCTGAAACTGATTCCCCTTGTTTTTCTCGTGTCTAGCACCTCCTGGACAAAATGAATGAGTACGTGGGCAAAGCTGCCTCCCGGCTGCCTGCCCTGGCGTTGCTGGGGCACGTGGTGAGGCTGCAGCCGCCATGGAAGCACAAGCTCTCCCAAGCGCCTCTCTTGCCTTCTCTGCTCAAGTGTCTCAAGGTACGACATGCCTAAGGGTTTGAACAAAAGGGCTTTGTGAATAGCTTCTGACATAGTGAGTAACTGGCAGCAAGCACACTAGGTTTAGGTCTGAGAGTTACCAAACCTCTAGGTGTTTGGCTTTCCTCAAGGGTGCTGTGGACCGTGGTTGGTCCCGGTGAGAGCTTGGGGCCTGGCTCTGGCTGTCAGGTATCCTTGTCCAAGCGAGGACGGTCAGGTTGGCAGGGCCAGCTTCTCCCAGCCCTCCTTGGTGGTATCAGTGTCCGCTCTTCCTTCAGTGGCAAGCACACTGGTTTCTTTTTGGGGAATCCTCATTTCTAAATTCTCCTTCTAGCTACTAGAAAAATGGCCAAAGGCTCTTCTTTCAGGTGTTCTGGTTGCAGCACAAGTTGGGGTCTTGTTGACCCACGGCCTGCTGCGGTGCTCTCTGCCGCTTGAGTTTAGCTTCGGGCAGTTTTCGACATGGGGACAAAACATGCACGGAGCTTCCTGGCTGCAGGGTTGACAGTGGCGGCGGAAGTCCCAGGGCTGTTTGCTCTGTGTTGGCGCCTAGGCTTGTTTCCTACCTATGAAATAAGAAAACATGGTTAACATTAACTGCCTGTACCCCGCAGAGATGGCAAGCCTCTAGTATTTGTCCCAGGGTGACAGTACCTTTGGATCCATCTGAGGCAGCACCATGAAAATCGACTTTTGTCTCTGCCAGTAGGGGTGACTGTTTATCCCTTGAGGTGGGTCCCAAGGAGTCACCTTGTAGGCTATCATAAAAGTAGGTATTAAGGTTAAGAACACTTAGGAACAATTTAAAAAACTTAATTTCCTTTTAAAGCAAATGGGTTGGTTAGGATATAATCTAATTTAGAGGTATACCATGTAGCTCAGATTGCAAAACAATTACCTTTTCCAGAAGGGCAAGCCTGGAAAATGCCTCACGGACTGTCACTCCAGCTCGAATGTCCTGACACGTGATATCGGGTTAGGCCTTTCTGCTGGGGCCATGCCCACTCCTGGCTCTCCCACCGGCACCTCATCTTGTTCTGCCTGGGTAGCCGCCATAATGGATGGCGTGGTGCTTGATACAAAATTAAATATATTTAAAACTTGATCTCCAGACTCATGGGTTCCGTTTTTAAATGGGATGGATGACAGTCTTAGCTGACATGATAGTCTTTTGTTTAATATCTTGTTTCTGAATCTGGCAGGCAGTCATGATTTAATTATGGGTCCAGTGAGCCACTGTAGCTAGCCTGAGTTGGTGCATTATCCATTGGGTATTAAGTGTCTTCAGTTAGCCTGAAGTCATAGACCTTGATGCTTGAACTACGGACTTGGTCAGAGGTCACCATCTTTTATTTGCTGGTCTCTAAATCCTGCCACAAAGGTGAGCTGCTAAGTCTGCTTTCTATGCTGCCCCGTTTTCCTCTTAAATAATACTTCTGTTATACTCCTTTAAATTTGGTGACTTGTCAGTAGTAGTGGTTTTTTTTTTTTTAATTAAAAGAAAGTAAATATTTTAGGATTTGCTTGAATGAACAAAACGGAGCAGTTCCTTTGTTCTGTTAAATATCAGCTTGTTTGCGTCCAACCCATGTGCTGTAAATAAGCACCCTAAGACCCTGGCACTGGGGGTTGCCAAGCCAAGTTGAGACTCATCTCCCGAAGCAGTTTGCATAGGAGTCCTGCAGACCAACCCCCAGTTCCCTCCTGAGTCTGTCTCCGTGTTGATCCTCTAAAATCCTTAGGGAGCGGGAAGTGAGTCTAGGGGTGAACCTCCAGTCTGCAGCCTCCTCGGAATTTGGACCCTAATACTGCACCCCACCGTTCCTCCTGCAGGTGGACACCGATGTCGTGGTCCTCACAACAGGCGTCTTAGTGTTGATAACCTTGCTGCCGATGATCCCACAGTCGGGGAAACAGCACCTTCACGATTTCTTTGATATTTTTGGCCGTCTTTCATCATTGTGCCTGAAGAAGCCAGGTGAAGACCCTCTTCTCTGCCTGTCGCACCCTGCCCCCTGAATGCTGTCAATATTGGTCAGAGCTGTAAGGGAAGGGCGTGTAGAATTTTATTAATGAAATAGGTGGGAGGCATGTGTAAGAAGCGTGACTGTTAAGGTTTTCCCTTAATCTGTGACTTAAAAGAATTAGTTGTCAGAGAAACTGAGTGATGGGGTGTGGAGCTCCCGACTTGCAGGGGACTGGACAGCAGCATCCGCCTGGGTGGCAGCAGTGCAGGACTGAGCTTGTGACCGCTTTTATCTCTCTCTCCTGGTCTAAGGGCCTGTTCACATCTATGTAGAAGGGGAAGGGAGATGCCTCATGTCCTGGCGCCTTCTGGCCCAGCGCTGGGGGTTCCTGTATCCAGGTAGCACATCACTGTCAAAATGACTCTGAAACAATAGGCATGTGAGCCTCAGAGGCCTGTGAGCCTCAGAGGCCTGTGGTGGTCCCAGCATGAGAGGTTCATGTTGAAATGATGAGATGGGTCAGCCCTGTGGACAGACCAAGTCCATCCATGTGCTGCTGGCTCATGTTTGAGGCCTTTATGGGGAGAAAGGAATGGTCTCTCCATTAGGGTGGATTTGGGGGTTTCCCTAGGGTCTAGGTAAGCTTACAGGAACTAGTTTCTTTTGCACACCTAGCTTTTGAAGTTAACTTTGAAGTTTCTTCATTCTTTAGTTGCAAATTTGCATAGCTAATGCTAGACAGTGACTGGTAACGGTTGGCAGGCATTCGCCACACTGGCACCGGGCCTGTTAGGCACCGAGCACAGGGTCAGGCGTGCAGAATATAGCAAGCAAAGATACTGCTGTTCTCTAGAAACATATTCTGAGCAGGGGCACGGGGAGTCCAGTTGCCGATTCGGGGGACAGTGGCTGTCATTATAAAGGTGCTTCACCGTGCTGAGAATGCTGGGGTCCTTCTTGAGGGAGGGCTGCAGAGGCCAGCTCAGCAAGAGCCTGCGTGGGCTGTGTAAGTAGACCGGCGTGTGTCTGGGGCCACAGGCGCCACCAGTGGCTGTTGCACAGGAGGATGTCCGGATAGGGACTTGCATTTTAGAGGCTGCTCCCACTGTCTCGGGGGCCACTGGGGAGCACACATGCACGAGGTCATCCTGGCTTGTTCGTTTCTGCCTTGCACACGTCATTCTGTGTCCAGCTACGTCTCCTCTCCATGGTTTCCTTTTCAGGCCACGTGACAGAAATCTACCTTGTCCATCTCCACGCCAGTGTTTATGCTCTCTTCCACCGCCTCTATGGAATGTACCCTTGCAACTTTGTCTCCTTTCTACGTTCTCACTACAGTATGAAGGAAAACTTGGAGACTTTTGAAGAAGTGGTCAAGGTAAGAGCAAATGAACTGCTCCTTTGACCCTTAGCATACTGGGAGCACAGCTGCATTTATAACCTTTGTATTAAATGGTAGGAAAATTTTGAAAAGAAATTCAGTCTCCCTCTCAGCTTGCCCCCTCCCTCGGCTCTAGGCAAGCTCTGCTCTGCATTCTGCCTTTAGATGTGGCAGACAGGGAGCCATGTAATATGGGGTTTTTGTGTCTGGCTTCTTGCACGTAACATGATGTCTCAAGATTCATTCACGTGGCCTGTGATAGTAGTTCATTCCTTTTATTGTCAAATAATATTTGTGGTATAGAGACAGTACAGAAATGAAGCCTTTCATAATTTGTCAACCCGAACTCTTCCAGCCAATGATGGAGCATGTGCGAATTCATCCGGAATTAGTGACTGGATCCAAGGACCACGAACTGGACCCTCGAAGGTATAGAAGTGAAGCTTGTGGCACAGAATTGTACAGGATCTCTTGAGAGGTAGAAAGTGATCTGGGACATGCTCATTTTGAGGTCTGGCTGGGGAGCCCTGGTGTCCTACTCATGGAATCACTGTGTTATGAAGGCATGGGAGCTTGGCGTGGGCCTAAGGCTCTTCCTCCTGGATGGAGGGTGCCCTGAGCAGGCTGGTGCAGGGTGCGATGTGCAGGCTACTGTCCTGCCGGGCCCCAGAAAGACTCCTGCCTCACCTGCCAGGGAGGGCCAGAAGTCAGAATGGTGTTCATTTCTGAAACACCTTCAAAACTGAGAGGAAAGGGTTTTCAACTCAGACTTTTATATCCAGCCAAATTGCCTGAAAGCATAATACATTTTTGGATTTGCAGGGACTTAAATTTACTTCCCATGGACGTTCTTCAGCTAACCACAGAGCACATGATCCACCAAAAGCAAATCAAGGAGGAAGCAAAGACACAATTCAGGAAGCGGAGGGGGCACTGACTTAGGATTGTGATCAGGGAGGTCTTGGGGTGCAGTGCTGAGAACCATCAGTTCAGGCTGATGGGGGAGGGGCTCCAGAGGGGTTTTCTGGTGAGATGGGGATGATCCTAGCAGGCTGTTGGCCTTTCTTCGTGTAACATTGTATATTAGGTGTTGTTTCAAAGCTACAGAATAAGTTGGAGAAGAATTAATAGATACACGGAAGACTGAGGAACTGAGATAGAAAAACCCGAACTCCAGGACAAGCTACATTGAACACACATGGACATAAATTGGACACCCACCATGGTATCCTCTTCAGCTCAGTCGGGATGAGCACTACAGTCATAATAATTAATTGCTGAAAGTTGTCTTTAAAAAGAAACAAAATAGTGATATACTTGTCTTGAGAGCACTGGGGAGGAGGGAAGGCTAGATGGACACAACCCAGATCCTCACCAACCGCAGCAGGAAGCTAATTGATGATGTCTAATATTCGTAAGTCAAGAAACTGAAGGTACATTCCTTAGAAGTATGAGGGCAGGGTGACAGCTTAGCTTGCTGAATGGGGAACAACTGGCAGAGGGCTATAGGGGAGAGGCATGCGGGCAGCTTTTAACACTGTATTAGCTTTTTAAAGTATATTTTATTGCCTCTCAGATGCCATTAAATATAGGATGTATGTGTCTGAGGAAGAAAAAAGTGCCAAATAAACACCTCAGAGGATACTTTCCAGTTTCACAGTTATTATTAAGTTATGAAAAGTGCCTTTAAGAATAGAGGAATAGGGTCTCCCTGATGGCGCAGCCACTGCAGCACGAGTTTGACCCCCGGCCAGGGAGCTACCCACAGGGTGCAGCAGACTCTCCTGTCTCCCCGCTGCTCCCCTCAGCAGTGGATTTCGGTCAGTCTGCCTGTTCTGCTCCCTGCTCTGTCTCTGGTGAGTCCTCTCACCCCCTGCACCTCTGGCTTATACCCCAGTTCTTGTATGCATAAATAAATCTTTAAAAAAAAAGAATAGAGGAAATACTTAAGTGCGTGTTATTTTAATCAAAATAAGTCATTGAAAGGCTTTCCTGCTTCACTGTGATCGCATTCTCTCCTCTGGAAGCCGTCCGCCTCTGGGTGCCGTGCGTCCTGGCGCTCGCTCTCACTCAGTCCCCTCCAGTCAGGCTGAGGCTGCCCAAGAGGAGACAGGCACCCATGATGCGGGCGCACGGGCATGTCGCGTGACCTCAGAGGCAGGCTCTGCCCTTAGGGAAGCACCTACATACCCCCACACCCTGAACTCTTTCACTGTGTATTCGGTGTCACACTTTTGGCATTTAAGATTTAATGATGAACGTCCTCGACTGATTTGTGCAGGATCGAATGTTAGCTTCCGGAGACCCACGGAATGCAGCCGGTGCTGCTGGCTGTGCCCCGTATGCTCTGGGGGGAACAGGAGGGTGAGAACCTCTAGCAGCGTATAGCAGAATCAGGTCATCTGCAGCTGGCTCACGCCCAAGCAGGTGTCCATCCCATAGACAGCCTTGGGACCGCTGGCCCCGGGATGCCGGGTGGGCGCTGGCGGCAGGAGGAACGCAGGCGCCACCCCGTTGTTCTTGTCACCTGTGCACTTCCTGTGCTCCTGGCTCTTGTGGGAGTGTCTCAAAGTAGATTTGTGTGTTTTGTTCATATAAGATTATCACCTAAGCATTTCATGCCGTTTAGCCTTCAAAAGCATGATTTTCAAAATAACTTTAGTAAAGTATGACTTACATACCATAAAACTCATGATTTTGTTACATCTTAACAACCATGATGAAGAACATTTCTTGCTCCAGAAAATCTGCTTGTGCCTTTCCTGGTCAGCCCCTCCCCCTGCTCTTTTTTTTTTTTTTTTTTTTTTTTTAAGATTTATTTTTATGCATAGATGAACTGGGATGTAGGCCAGAGATGGGGGGGTGAGAGGACTCCCCAGAGACAGAGCGGGGAACAGAACAGGCAGATCTACTGAAATACGCTGCTGAGGGGAGCAGCGGGGAGACAGGAGAGGTGTACTGCGCCATGTGGGTCAGCAACCTGGCCGGGGATCAAACGTTGGCTTCAGTGGCCTAAGCTGGCCAGGCTCCCAGAAGTGGTACAGTGGAGCGTGAGGGGGCGCTCCAGACAGTGCTTTAGATACTCTGCTTTCTCTCAGTTTGCATCTTTCTGAGTCGTATTTCTGGCCTACAGATGGATCCCATCACCTGGCAGCTCCCAGGTCTCCCTGTTTTGTGACTCTTTGTTCCCCAGGAGAATGATCCCTGGGGCTGCGCTGCATGGCTTGTGTTCTTCTCTGAGGCCATGCCTCATCTTTTGTTGATGAAATTTTTGTTTCAGATCAGTTTCTGATAACTTGGTACGACCGTCTAAAACTGGGAGGGTAGCGTGTATCACAGGAATGCTGGCTCTTTTCCTGTGTGCTCCTCGGACCGCCACCTGTGCCTTGCTAATCACAGCTCAGGGGCTGACACTGAGCTGGCCCCCATAAGGACCCAATCGTGGGGTGACATGGACGCCAGCCTACAGTCTTGACGCTCTTTGCTCTGGCAGGTGGAGGAGGTTAGAGACGCACGACGTTGTGATCGAGTGTGCCAAGGTCTCACTGGACCCCACGGAGGCCTCGTGTGAAGAGGGCTATTCAGTGTCTCTCCAGCTCTCCACCCGCTTTCCTCATCGTTGTGCTGATGTCACCGCCAGCCCCTCCGCCGACACCCAGAATAGCTGTGGTAAAAAGTGACTTTGCTGCTGTCTGCTTTATGGCTTTGTCTGTAGAAAGCCTTGCTGATTTTTGTTGATGTTATTTTCCTTCCCTAGATTAAGACTTAGATCAGTTCCTATGTGCTAGTTTCCAAATGCTTAAAATTTGAACTTACACCCATGTTCTCCTGATTAATTCTCCCTCGAGTTTAATTTAAAGTCATGTCCTTGGTTTGCGGCCGGTGAGATGGCCAACAGCCTTGGGGATGTGTCTGCAACAATGAACAAGGGAGAGGGTGTCAAGTTTTGGCTCCAAGGCTTTGGTCTTGAAGAAGCGGTTCTGGTCCCAGACATTTGGGAGGCCTTGTGGGCCGTGGCACTGACGTAACTTGCCCTGAGCCCGCACAGTTCAGAGATAGACGGAGATGGCCCAGGCTTCAGCGCAGGCCCTGACAGTGTCTCCCATATGTGCTTGTCCAGGTTACCCTAAAGCTTGACGTAGGCCTGACTTACTGAACTGTATTTCCAAAGCAGGTTTAAAGGTCCTTCTCCATGGTACTTTGACCCCAATGTGGCCAGGCATCCACTCAGGTGTTTTAAATCCAGAGGACGGAATGTTTCCAGTGTTCTTGGACCCTGGTTTTGATCAGGGCTGTCTAAAACCGCACGCTAACCCCTGTGTTCTCTCCCTTCACTTTAGGGAGTGCTGCTTCTACCCCTTACTCCACTCCTCGGCTGATGTTAAATACTCCAGGGCAGCTACCTCAGACTCTGAGCTCCCCCTCGACACGGCTGTTAACTGAGCCACCACAAGTACGGTGTCAGGCTGAGCCTGCTCTCTCCTCTGCGGCTGGGAGGCTGCCCGTGGGGTCAGGCTGTAGCACGCGCTGGGGAAACCTTGCTGCTCGGCTCAGGAGCCACGTCAAGGGAGAGTGTCAGCTCTGTTCTGTTGCCCTTTTCTGGTAGAAAAGGCGTGATTTTAAAGTGGCTCACGTCGTAGGCCTAACTCTGGGTGACAGGGTTTTCCTTCCTCATTACTGACGTGCCTCGTTAACTTCCAGGCCACTCTTTGGAGCCCGTCTACGGTTTGTGGTATGACCACTCCTCCGACTTCTCCTGGAAACGTCCCACCTGATCTGTCCCACCCTTACAGTAAAGTCTTTGGTACAGCTGGTACGTACGTCTTCGGCTGCACCTGCTTGGTTGGCTTGGGCCGGCCTGCCCTTGTGACGAGGGACTATCTCGCAGATCTAGTGGTGAGCTGGGGGCGCTTGCCGTAGTAAACCTGCCTTTGACATGTAATGCAAGCCTTAGGGGCTTCCAGAACACGTAAGGTGGGCCCTAAACAAGACAGAAAAACCCAACTCATCTGGATTCCCAGAAATTTAACTCTAGCAGCTTTCTTTGCAGTAATAAACTGAGGGAAAATGGCCAGTTTCCTACCAGGCTAAGCAAGTTTGTATTTTCTGTCCGCCTCTCCTGGCAGGTGGAAAAGGAACCCCCCTGGGAACCCCAGCGACCTCTCCTCCTCCAGCCCCGTTCTGCCATTCTGAGGACTGCATGCACGTTGCATTCCCGCAGGCCCCAGCTGTGGCCCCCAAGAAGGTAGGCGCGGTGCTTTACCCTTCACCCCAGTGCAGTGACCTGGCCCCCTCTGGCCACGAAGCCCATCAGCAGGCTGTCTCTTCACCCAAGATGCGATGATTTTGAATCACAGCAATTGCAAGCAGACCAGCTGCTCCCAGCACATGGGCTCTGACTCCTGTGGCTCCCGGGAGCTCCCTGGGGTCAGAACACTTCTGTAGTAACGCCCAGTATGTGCTCTCGGGCTGCCGGGGCAGCTGCATGGCTGTGTACAGGGGCAGCAGTTGTGAGGCAATGGCTAGTCCCTCAGCACGAGTTGAGGCAGGCACTGTGCTGTGCCTGGTCAGCACGGTGCTCTTTCTCCGGCTTGTGCTCTTGCAGTTGGAAGAAGGGAGAGAACAAAACCTACAGCTTAAGAGCTCCTGTAGAAGGCAGTAAAAATACTCCTCTTGTTTAGTCTTTGTGTCCAGTGGGAACTAGGCACTCACACGGGCACTGCAGACTGCAGGGTGGTGGCCCGCCCGGTGCCGGGGTGGCGGGTGGCCGGGAGCACCCAGTGAGCCACCTTTCTTAGGGCACGTCAGTTTTATTCGGAAGAACACCTGACACGCCAGGTAGTTCAGACTTGAGTACTTGGCAAGCGCTCGCTGCTGAACCGATTGACCACTTCTGGGTCATCAGCTGACCGTGGTTGTCGCCAGTGAGAGTTCAGCTTTCAGGGGAAATGAGCCTGGTTGCGTCTGCCTCCTGAGCGTGTCCACTCCCCTGGGAACTGTAAGATGGGATCCGAAGTCTTGGGAAGCTTAGTTAATGTGTTGAGTTTGTGGTGTGATGTAAAATAATGAAATATTTCAACATCTGAAAGTTCTCCATAGATCGGTCAACGCTGGCCGTGGGCTGTCATGGTGTTGCGTGTGGGTGAAAGGGTGCCCAGAGAGGGAGGAGGCCAGTGGCCCTGACACGCAGGAGCGAGGATGGCCGTGGCTTCCCTGGCCAGCCGGGGCCGCCCCTTGAGAGAGGACCACTTGTCTGTCACATTTGGTGTAACCACCAAAACGGTTATCTGCGGTCACCTGAAAGGTCACTAACTTGTGTTTACTTTCTCAGCTGCCTATCCCAGGGCCCGAATTTTCTGCGTGTCCTTTAGCAAAAGAATATATTACCACAGGGTGGATGCAGATCGCTGTCTTCCATTAAGCCAGAGATTCCAGAGAAAGTGCTAGGATGTGAAACGACACTGTGCTTTTCACTGATTTTATTTTTGTTTTGAGAAACATCGCTGTTCTTCATGAGAATGCATTATTTAGGCCTACGTGTAATAAGCTTGTTGTCTTTTAGCAAATTAATATTTTAAGTTTCTATTATAATTTTAAATACTATAACTGCCAATAGACATAATCTCATAAATAACAACTCTTGAGATTATCAGTGATATTTAAGAATATAAAGGTGGGGGCCTCCCCGGTGGCACAACGGTTGAGCGCTGGGTTGCGAAGCTGCCCGTGGCCTCTGCGGCGCTGGTTCGATCCCCGGCTGCTCCCCGGCCACCGGAGGAGGGTCCCACATGGCGCGCAGACCTCTCCTGCCGCCCGCCGCTCCCCTCAGCAGTGTCCTTCGGTCCTTCTGCCTGCTCTGCTCCCCGCTCTGGCTCTGGTGAATTCTCTCACCCTCCCGCGCTTCTGACTGTACCCAGTGCATGTATAAACAAACAAACAAATAAATAAATAAAACATGCCTATATTAAAAAAAAATTATTAAAAAAAAATAATAATAATTAAAAAAAAAAGAATATAAAGGTGGGCCTCCCAAGGTGGTGCAGCGGGTTTTGTGCAGCGCTGTGAAGCTGTCTGCAGCAGCTTCTCTAGTGCCGGTTCAGTTCCCGGCTGGCCAGGGATACCCACATGATGCGGTAGACCTCTTCTGTCTTGCCCACTGCTCCCCTCAGCAGGGTATTTCGGTCCTTCTGCCTGTTCTGCTTCCTGCTCTGTCTCTGGTGAATTCTCGCACCCTTCTGTGCCTCCGGCTTGTACCCCAGAGCTTGTATAAATAAATAAATCTTCAAAAAAAAAAAAAAAAACATTAAAAAAAAGAATATAAAGGTATCCGGAGACCAAGAGTCGGCCCCCCACTGGGCTAACTTTCAGACTCCTTTGTGATGTGCTGGCATTTCAGAGAGTTAGGCCGGGTCAGAGAACACGTCCAGCGATTCACCTCGTGGTGTGACCAGTGCCTGTCTTTCAGGAAGAGAAGACAGACGCTGCCAGGCCCTGTCTCCACAGACAGCCCCATCTTCCGAATGACCGAGGATTAGGTAAAGTCCAGGTGACGGGAGGCCCTGTGTGCATGGAACCAGGGATTCTGGAAACCTAGAGAAACGATGTGTAATTAAGTCTACAGCCAACCTAGTACCATCAAAAAGAGATTTTAAGCTGTTGCAGTGAAGTGACCTGCGTTTCAGCTGACCAAGCTGTGGTGTTATCTGTTCTCTGAGACCTGACGAGCAGAGAGTATTTTTGTTGGATTATGATTTTGGTCCCTTGAGTGAGATTGTTGCGGATGCCCGGGCTCTCTGCTGTAGCCCCGGGAGAGAGCATGTCCAGCCTCTCTTATCAGCGGGAGGGATCCTCCCAGACGTGGCTAGGCGTGCGGAAGCAGGGCCTGCTGGGGTCCAGTGTGGCCCTGCGAGCTCCTTCTCTCTCTCCCCCTCTAGAAGAGCTCCCTGGTGGCAAAGGCTCCGTCACGCTGAGCGACCTTCCTGGGTTCCTGGGTGGCCTGGCCTCTGAGGAGGACAGTATTGAGAAGGACAAAGAAGAAGGTAAATGTGGGCCCTGGGCTGCCGCATGGCCAGGTCTCCTGCTGCCGGAAAATGGCTCTGGGGCCAGTGCTCCCAGGCTGGTGCCGTTTCTCCTCTGGGGGAAGATGCGAGACCTGTTCTGGGTCCTACACCAGGTACAGGGTGCAGCTTTGTCTTGGTCCCTCTGGGTGGCCACAGCCACCCCCCCACACTGGCTTATTCACCGGGGTGCCTCTTGTCTCCCCTCTTCTTTCACAGCGGCGATATCTAAAGAACTTTCTGAGCTCACGACCGCTGACACCGAGCCCCTGGTTCCTCGAGGAGGGTTTGACTCTCCCTTCTACCGAGACAGTGTCCCGGGCTGTCCGCGGAAGACCCACTCGGCCGCCTCCAGTGTGCCCGGCGCCAGTGTGAACCCTGAGCCTTTAAACTCCTCCCTGGACAAGCCCGGGCCTGACACACCAAAGCAAGCCTTTACTCCCATAGACCTGCCCTGTGGCGGCGCTGACGAGAGTCCGGCCGGCAGCAGGGAGCGCCAGCCTTCCCTGGAGACCAGCATCCTTACTCCCAGCCCTTGTAAAATTCCACCTCAGAGGGGAGTGGGGTTTGGTAGTGGGCAGCCTCCCCCCTACGATCATCTTTTTGAGGTGGCCTTGCCAAAGACTGCCCATCATTTTGTCAGCAAGAAGACGGAGGAACTCTTAAAGAAAGCAAAAGGAAATGCTGAGGACGACTGCACGCCCTCTACCTCCCCGGCGGAAGTGCTGGATAGGCTGATACAGCAGGGTGCCGACGCCCACAGCAAGGAGCTGAGCAAGTAAGGCCGCGGCTCCCAGCCGCCCTCGCTGCACCGTCAGACACACTCAGCACGCCAGCCACGCTGAGGCCCTTGGTGCGGCTGTAGGGGGCTCTTTCTGCTCAGGCCCTCTGTGCCCCCCGCTCTGAGGACACCTGGCTGCACTCCTATTGGCGCGGAGAACATGGGCAGGAAGTCATGGTGCTGCAGATAACACCAGGGGTTTGCCATTGTCTCCTTCCCCAGCCACACAGAGGGTCTTCCCTCTTGGCAGCATGACTCCTTAGGTGGAGTGAGACCATCCACGTTTCGGGGCGGGGTCAGTGTCTCTCCGATCCAGCCCAGGGGCACACAGGTTTCCCAGAAAGAAGTCTTTTTTTTTTTTTTTTATAAATTTTATTTTTATATTCCCCATACAATTGCAACCCCCCCATTCTGACCCCAATCTCTCCCCTCCCGCCCCCCACCCCCCAAAAAGTGTCTCTGGTTCATAGTTTTTTGTTGATTTTGATTTTCACTTTCTTATAGTTATTCGTTTTCCTGGTCCCTTATTTAAGTTTTCTAGATTCCTGCTATGAGTGAGACCATCCAGTATTTTTCTTTTTCTTTTTGGCTTATTTCACTGAGCATGATCCCTTCCAGCGCCATCCATGTTGCTGCAAATTGCATGTGTTTATCTTTTTTGAATGCTGAGTAATATTCCATGGTGTATATGGACCACATCTTCTTGATCCAGTCATCTATTTTTGGGCATTTGGGCTGTTTCCAAAGCTTAGCTATTGTAAACAGTGCTGCTAGAAACATAGGGGTGCAGGTGCTCTTTGGAATGGATGTTTCTGTGTCCTTTGGGTAAATACCTAGGAGTGGAATTGCTGGATCCTATGGAAGGTCAATATTTAGTAGGTCCAGAAATCTCCACACAGCTCTCCATAGTGGGTGGACCAGTTTGCACTCCCACCAACAGTGCAGAAGAGTTCCTTTTTCTCCACACCCTCGCCAACATTTGTTGTTGCTAGTTTTTTTAATATGTGCCATTCTCACTGGTGTAAGATGGTATATCATTGTAGTTTTGATTTGCATTTCCCTGATCACAAGTGATGTTGAACATTTTTTCATATGCCTGTTGGCCATTTGCATTTCCTCTTCAGAGAAGTTTCTTTTTAGCTCTTCTGCCCATTTTCTGACTGGATTATTTTCTTTGTTGTTGTTGAGTCTCATCAGCTCTTTGCAGATTTTTGATCAACTGATCAAAAATTTTTTGCCAACTGATCCTGTTGGCGCGGAGAACGTGGGCAGGAAGTCATGGTGCTGCAGATAACACCAGGGGTTTGCCAGTGTCTCCCTCCCCAGCCACACAGAGGGTGATCAGTCCTTTATCATTAGTGTTGGGTGCAAAAATGTTCTCCCAGTCAGTGGGGTTTCTCTTTGTTTTTGTTATTGTCTCTTTTGCTGTGCAGAAGCTCTTTAATTTGATGTAGTCCCAGCTGTTTATCTTTGCCTTCACTATCACTGCTTTGGGTGATGTATCTGTAAAGATGTCTTTGATGTGCAAATCACGTAGTGTTTCGCCTATATTTCCTTCTATATATTTTATGGTTTCAGGTCTTATGTTTAGTTCTTTAATCCATTTTGAGTTGGTTTTTGTGTATGGTGTGAGGTAGTGGTCAAGCTTCATTCTTTTGCATGTAGCAACCCAGTTTTCCCAGCACCATTTATTGAACAAACTTTCTTTGCTCCAATGCATAGTCTTTGCTCCTTTGTCAAAGATTAGTTGACCATAAATCTGTGGGTTTATTTCTGGATTTTCTATTCGATTCCATTGGTCTGTATGTCTGTTCTTGTTCCAATACCATGCAGTTTTGATGATTATGGCTTTGTAGTATAGTTTGAAGTCTGGGAGTGTGATGCCTCCATTCCCTTCCCAGAAAGAAGTCTTTCTGAGACCCTTTCGGCCCTCCTGGTAGCCTGCTCACAGGCTCTCGGGACAGGGCCCGCGGTCCCAGTGCAGAGAGCACACGGGCTCCTGGAGGGTGGCGGTCCTGGTTTTCATCTTTATAACAACCTCAGGCGGTCTGTGACGGAGATTGTGATATTTAAGATCTCTTTTTGAGTGAAATTTGGTGAAGTCAAAGTAGGAAAGTTACCTGCATTTTCCCATTAGACCTGGCTACTGCTCTCATGCTTCTGCGGAGAGGTTTGAGAAGAGCAGGGGCGGGGGGGACAGCCCTCGGCGTGTGTGTGTGTGTGTGTGTGTGTGTGTGTGTGTGTGTGTGGCCCCTCACTTGCCCTGGAGAGCTGACCACCGCCTGCTCAAGTGGAGCCGGGGCCAGTCGTCGTCACAGGCACCAGCCCTTCCATCCTGTCAGGCTCATCCTCACGCCAGCTCGACTTCCTCATGCCGCTGCATTTTTGACCCCCAGGAAGTGAGCTAACCTTGCTGCACTTAGAAGTCCAGATAGGTTTTGCTAAGGCAAGTTGATAACTTTGTTACTCAAAACCTTTCTTCCTAGGTTGTCTTTACCCAGCAAGTCTGTGGACTGGACCCACTTTGGAGGTAAAGTTCTTTAGCGCCAGATCTACCCGCTGGGCCCCCCAGGCTGGTCGCCTTTCCTGTCCTTGGAGGAAGTACCCCTAGGGAGTGCCTCCCCACACCCCACTCCAGCCAGCAGCCTCTCGACGCTGCAGTCGGCGCTGGCTGTGGTGACGGGTGCCACGTCCCTGCGCTGAGAGCTGGACATGCAGAAGCGGGGCCCCTGGGAGGTCAGCACCCAAGAGGTACTGGGCTTGCCAGTGACGAGACAGGAGAGGCCTGAAGAAACGTGCATGTGTATGGTCCAGGTGTTGGGGGAGAGGAGAGCCAGCTAAAGAGCCATCCCACGTCATACCCATTGCTTTAAAGAGCGAAGGGTCCCTCCCCACGCCCACGCATGCCTGAGGGCCGAGTGGCCATTCACAGAGCTAGTAGCGATTTCTTCCTGAGAGAATGTGTTTCTTTAGCTGACAGACCACGGGCGGGGGCTTGGTTGGCCGCTGTGTAAAAGAGTCTCTGCCGCCCCTCTGCTCTCACCTCAGGCTCGCCTCCCTCAGACGAGGTCCGTACCCTGCGGAACCAGTTGCTTTTACTGCACAACCAGCTGCTCTATGAGCGTTTTAAGAGGCAGCAGCACGCTCTGCGGAACAGGCGGCTCCTCCGGAAGGTGATCAAGGCCGCAGCGCTGGAGGAGCACAATGCCGCCATGGTGAGCCTGGCCGCGGGGCGCCGGGATGTGGGTTTTGGTTCCACTTCGGACCAGCATGGTGGTTGGCAAAGAGCAGCAGCTCAGCCAGCCTCTCAGCCCGCCCTCTGCCTGCTGGTGTGAATTGAGGCTCTGAGGCTAGGTCTGAGGCGAGGTCTCTGCTCCCTCTCAGCTGCTGGGCGCGGCCAGGGGTCGGGGTGCAGAGGTGACTGTGCATCTGTAAACGGCCATGGCGTCGCCCAGAGGTGGTTTCCCCAGTGTGGAATAGCTCTGCCAAGCCTGTATGGTGGCATAAACTGGGGGCGCGGTAGCGAAGCCTGTCAGGCTGGAGCTGGGGCCGTCTCTGCGGCTTGTCTCCTTGGGAAAGTGGCGTTGTTTCTCGGAGCCTCTGTCACCCATTCTGAAAAGTGGGAACAGTAAGATCAGCGCCAACTTTTTCCCACTGTGTTGGTTAATGGAATGTCGGTAAGCGCTGGCTCCACGCCTGGCTCGGTGGGTGTTCAGCGTTTCCGATTCCTGGGAAGGCACCGGTTCCTGGAGGGTGGAGCGTGGCTCTGGAGCCTGGGAAAGACTTTTTAAGCAGCAACATCGTATCTTTTTGCTAATGTGACCTTTAAACGTTCTTGACCTGAAGCCGGATTAGATGGCGGTGAGCTGCCAGATTCTGGCCTCTCATGAGTTTCAGGGGGGCATGTGGCTGTTTAGGTGGGACATTTGCTGCGTGTGTTGAAAGGCCGCTGAAGGGGGGTGCCTCTGTCTCTGCTAGAAAGACCAGCTGAAGCTTCAAGAGAAGGACATCCAGATATGGAAGGTTAGTCTGCAGAAAGAGCAGAACCGGTATAGCCAGCTGCAGGAGCAGCGAGACACGGTGGTCGCCCAGCTCCATAGCCAGATCCGCCAGCTGCAGCACGACCGGGAGGAGTTCTACAACCAGAGCCAGGAGCTGCAGGTATGCCTGCACCCGGTGTGCTGGAGGGGCGGGGGCGCCTGTTTCTTTGAAGTGAGACGGAGTGCTTCTCTGGAGTCCTGGCAGGCGGTGCTGGGCAGGCGCCTTTAGTTAGGGCAGAGGCTCCTTGGCTTCTTGGTTCTCTTAGCGCTTCAGTGATGGTTTCCTGGCACTCGCGGCCAGAAGGAACACCACCAGTTCTGCTCACCTGGCAGACCTGGACAGCTTTGAGTGTCTATGTCCTGATAACTTAGTCGCTGTTTGAAAATAATGCTGTTATTTTCAGGAGCTGTTGACAATATGTCTAAAAGTGCTGGTAAACGACCGTCGGAAGCGCTGTCAGCTGTGCTGCCTGTGCTCACGGTGGGCCCTGCGTGGGGTGTCAGACCTTGGAGTCAGGCCGGGCACTGACACCTTCATTCCCTTTTTCACATCGGTTTTCGCATGGTGGTTTTTATCACGACAACCACCTTAAAGCCCAGGTTGGCAAAGACCACCTTACTCTCCCCTGGCACCAGCAGTAGCCGAGAACCAAACTGAACCTCCTCTAGCTCGTTGTTCACCCAGTGACCAACAGGGGGCGCTGTGTTTCCCTCAAAAATTTTAAAAGCGCGCACAACACGTTTGCCTGTTGCCTGGCCCAGCCTCGGCTCTTTGGCGCCGTGTAAGGGCTTGTTTTTAAATTGGTTGGGAACTCAAACATCAGCCGTAACTTTTTAAAACTAACGAGTTAAATCTTACTGGCCCAAGAATAGTAGAGCAACTGAGGACTCTGCTTTCCCCTCCGCTCGGGCCATGGTCTGGGAGGCTGGCGCCTGGCCTGCTGGTCCCCCTAATGTCACGCGCACGTGTCTCCGGGCAGACAAAGCTGGAGGACTGCAGGAACATGATCGCAGAGCTCCGCGTGGAGCTGAAGAAAGCCAGCAGCAAGGTGTGCCACACGGAGCTGCTGCTCAGCCAGGTTTCTCAGAAGGTAAGGAAAGGGGCGCCCTGTCCCCCTGCATCCCCCTTGCTGGTCTGCCTCAGCCAGCACAGACAGGCCACCGTGTGTCTTCTCAGGGTTCCCTGCAGGGAGGGACTCTGTCCCCAGCCCCGGGGACACTTGGCGCTGTCCAGAGGTACCTCAGGCTGACCTCCTGGAAGCTGCTGCGTCCAGAGAGCAGGCGGGACGCCGCCGAACACCCCGCGCTGCACGGGCCGGGCATCCGCAGCCGAGCTGCAGCCTGCGCCGGGCTGTGCCTGTCCTGTGGGGTGGCTCCTCAGCCCCTTAGTTGCATAGACGCGAGTGGCTTGCTCAGAACATTGAGCTCTCATCCTTCACTGCATCCCCAGACTGCTTGCTCCATGCTGGTGGTTTTCCCTGGGGCTGCATCCCCCAGACCTAACGTCCCCCCGTGTGGTGGCTGTAGTGCGGACACACGTCCGTGTGCTCCAGGAGCCCTGGGGAGCCAGCTTGGAGGGGGCGCACTGGCACTTCTCCCCTGGGCATGGTACTGTTGAGAGTGCGCTCCTGTCTGTCCCTGCCGCCCACGGAGGCCTTCCCGTCGGCCAGTCCTTGTGCCGGGGAGTCTGAGGCCCCGGGAGCTGGTTGGTTGTTCCGCCCCAGCTCTGAAAAAGCATGTGGCTCCTGGCTCCTGCCTAGTTGCGCTGGCTGCGCTGGTGCCGTGGGACCTCACCGTGCTTGTTCCTGTGCTTTGTCAGCTCTCAAACAGCGAGTCGGTCCAGCAGCAGATGGAGTTCTTGAACAGGCAGCTGCTGGTTCTCGGGGAGGTCAACGAGCTGTACCTGGAGCAGCTGCAGAACAAGCACTCGGACACCACAAAGGTACGCCGGCCAGGCCCAGCCGGTGGGGGCACTGGGGTGCTCTGCCTGCAGCGTGCCACGGGCGGCTTCACAGGTAGTTTCCTCAGCCGGCGCAGCCCTGCTGGGTCCTTCCCCTGAGCTTGCTTCCCTGCCTGCGCCGGGAAGTCAAGTCAGGTATTTAAAAAGGACTCAGTGAGACTCAGTACCCAGTGGGTAATATGAGAGTACCCTTCTCTCACCCAGGCCCCTCTAAGGAGAGGGAGCGAGAGGGAGGGAGCCAGCGCTGCTCTGCGTAGTGAGGACTGGGGTCTGCCTTGGGGGCGGCGTCTCTCCTGGCCCAGGTGGATGTAGCACTTCTCTTCCCTTTACTGTTGAATTTACTGAAGCTGCAGTCGTGGCAACAAGGCCAGGTTGGGGCAGGCCTGCAGTAATTCACGACTGGTGTTGAGGGCTTTAACGTACCTGCGTCATAGCCTCGAGTGATGGGGTGGGTGAGTTGGGAACGGAATTCTTTAGTGAATGCCCAGATGCACCCTGTCACCAGCTTCTCCATCACACACAGGTTTGCTCCCCAGAGCCGCTTGCGCCGTGCCTCTCTGGCCAGACGGAGGGGGTGGTCTCAGCAGAGCTGTCGTCTCCACGATGGAGCTGCCGCTGTCTCTCGCCCCTCTCAGCACTCACCTCCGGGCTCGCTTTAGGAGGGTGGCAAGGGAGAACTTTCTCTCTTTTATCTGGAAGTATAATAGCTTTGGGAGAAGAAAAACGAGGGGAAACAGACTTGTAAGATAGGAACCTTAAAAAAAATTTCCTCAAGTCCATTCCTCCTACCACTCGAGAGGCGAGAGGCGCCTGGTCAGTCGGCCTCCGGGGTCTGTGTTTTGCTCGGAGCACGCCTGCCCTCTTGGGGCTCTTCCTACTTTCTGCAGCAAGTGACGCTGCTGACAGCGGTGGTTAGCGGCCTTCCGCTGGGGGCGGCCACGAGGGAGCGGGCCTGGCCGGTCCCGTGTAGAGCTGCGTCATTTCTCTTGATGAGAAGTGCGGGACAGCGGAGTTCCAGGCTGGTCAAGTTCACAGTTGAGGGCAGCAGCAAGAGCCTGGCTCTTGCTTCTCTTCTGCCCCGTCTGACCTGTCCTGTCGCATGTCCTCAGACCAGCTGTGCTTGTGGGTGCAAGGCATGTGGCAGCGACAGCTGTTGTGGGCGGACACCGTGGAGAGCGGTCCTTCTGCCATCTCGTGCGGCGAGGAACACTTTCCCAGAGGCCCTCCGCCAGGCTGCCCGCCTTCTTACTGGCCAGGATGGTGCTGCGTGCCTGCCCCTGGCCCTGGTGTGGGGCTTCCTCTTGCTTAGTCAGATGGGAAGAAGGGTGGCTGTCTGAGATGTGGGGGTGTCTGCACAGGGACATTCCTTGCACCTCGCCTGATTCTTCACCGAGAGCCGGCCGAGGTCAAATGTGCTCGCCTGACCTGGGCGGGTCTGTAGGCCTCAGCTCAGCTGGCTGGCCCGTGGTCACTGGCACCCACTGGGCTTCAGTCCCCTACTCTCTGCCCCGAGGGCGCAGTGGGCTCACTTGTCAGGGCAGGAGCCCCTTTGGGGATGCTCATCTCCTTGCTCCCTGGGTTTACTATCTTAAAAATAATCGGCGCCCTCTTGCATTTATCTCCCCACCATGGGAAACGCCCATTGTCAGTGTCACGTGCTTGTCAGAGTAGTGTCCTGGCCGCCCCTTCTCTCAGCCTTGGTCTATGCTTGCGCTGGATTGTAAGCTGTTCACATCTGTCAGCAGCTGGGCAGATGCACGGTGGGCAGACCTCGTCAGCACCTGAGCTGCAGGTGCCGTGTTGTCTGCACACCTGCATGGTGCCCCTCCATTCCCCCTCAGCTGGGTAGGAGTCGGGGGAAGCTGGGAGCCGAGGACCAACGGACACTTCACTGCAATCGAGACGCCGTCGGCTTAGTTTTCATGCACCGTTTGGTGAATGTGGGTGTGTATGTGGTTGATAACCGAAATCTCAGGATCACGTTCTGCCTTTTAGTTCTGACATGTCTGGCTCTTAAAAACTGGTAAATGTAAAGCGTGAGCAGCAACTCCCTGACTTCAGATTTAACAGTGTTTTCCGGTTTTTGTTCTTAAGAATATGCCCTGATGACTTTTGTGTCTTTTATTTCTTTTCCTGTTTCAAATGATTTCCTTAGGGAGCGATTTCCAGAAAGGGTTTTTAGGTTACTATTTACTACCAGCTTCCTTTCTGGAAAGTTGGACTTGCTGATGTCCCACAAGCAGTGTCCTGCAGCGGCTTCTCTGCTGTCCCCTTGATGCCTCAGAAGGGGTGTGGCATGTGCATTTTCTGAAAGTACTTCTTCCTCCAACCCTTTCTGTAGGAAGTGGAAATGATGAAAGCGGCATATCGGAAAGAACTAGAAAAAAACAGAAGTCATGTCCTCCAGCAAAGTCAGAGGCTTGATACCGCCCAGAAGCGGATTTTGGAACTGGAATCTCATCTGGCCAAGAGAGACCACCTTCTTCTGGAACAGAAGAAGTACTTAGAGGATGTCAAGGCCCAGGCAAGGTAACCTTGGTCAGAAAAGGTGCTTGCCCCAATGTGCTCTTTTTTCAGTGGCACATCCCTAATCTGTAGTGGTCGGTGTCTTTCAGAGACCAGTTGCAGGCTGCAGAGAGCAGGTACGAGGCTCAGAAAAAGATCACACAGGTGTTTGAGCTGGAGATCCTAGATTTATACGGCAAGCTGGAGAAAGATGGCCTCCTGAAAAAACTTGAAGAAGAAAAACCAGAAGCAGCCGAAGCAGTGGAGGAAAGGTAGGCATAGGGAGTGGGCGCGGGCGGCTCTGTGGTTGGGCTGTGCTGACAGCAAGGACCGCGTGGGGTGGGGAGGACGCAGGCCGCAGCTCTCAGCCCCCATGCGGAGCACCCGCCCGGCCCGCTTGTCCTCGCCACGCCTGTGACCTCGAACGGCCTTTTCCCCGGGCCTCGGGCCACTCATTGTGGTCATGGGAGTGTTTGTTGTTAGACTGCACCTCCTGCCCCCAGCTGCGCCAGAGTTCTCCCCACGGTGGAGTCCGCTGCTACGAGACAGCGTGGGGTTCAGTGTCAGTGTGAGTGAGGGTCGCCTTCCAGACAGACACTGAGCCTCACCCCCTCCTCCCTCCCCAGTTCTTACAGGCTCGACTGCTGTCATGATGGCTGCTCGGAGTCCACCTTTGGGCACAGCGAAGAGGCCCCTGGCCGCAATGGTGAGACCAAGCCCCCCCGACCTGGCAGCACTCGGGGCAGTAGTAGCAGCAGTGAGCTCTCTACCCCGGAGAAGCCCCCCAGCCAGAGGGCGGGCCCGTTCAGCAGTCGGTGGGAAACGAGTGTGGCCGAGCCCTCGACCAGCATCCCCACGACGGTCGGCTCACTTCCCAGTTCCAAAAGCTTCCTGGGCATGAAGGCCCGAGAGCTGTTCCGTAATAAGAGCGAGAGCCAGTGTGATGAGGACGGCGTGGCCATCAGTCGCCTTTCCGAGACCCCAAAGACGGAACTGGGCACAGACTTGGGTGCGGAAGCCAAGACCCCCCTGGGCCCAGGTGGCCCGCACCCGTCTCCCCCTAACCCGGACAGTGCTGGACAGCTCCGTATCATGGACTACAACGAGACTCAGCACGAACACAGCTAGGGGGACGGCCGCTCAGTGTTAGCTCGGTAGCGCTGCCTAGCGCAGAGGCACGCACGCACGCACGTCTCGCGTGCTCCCGTTCCCGGGGCCGGGCGGCTAGCTCGCACCGTGGGAGCGGGAAGGAGGTCCTTTGGATAGTTGACTGGATGTGGAACGGTTTTTGGATCTGGCATTGAAATGCCTCAACCCTCCCCCGCCCTGCCCCAGCTCCCCCACCCCCCAGCAGCGTGTTCAAAGCCGAGGCGGTTTGCGTCCTCACTAGCTTTATTGTTTTCCTTTTCCCCAAACGGTCGCCTCCTCTGAACCTGTGCAATATGAGGCCAAATTGAGTCTGTGCATCTAACACACCATTCTCCTCTCCTGAGGCTCAGACATCTGGGTCGGCCCAGGTAGTTGGTGGCGTTGCAGGTAAGTCCAGTTTGTCCCTCTCTGGAGGATGTCTCGTGAACACTGACCATCTTCCCCCAGAAGCTTCGATGGAGACGTTTTCACAGCTATGTGGTCCTGAAGTTTAGCAGCTAAAGCAGCAGATCTAGAAAAACAGCGGTTTGTGCACCCTCATGTTCTTTTGGTTGTTCTGAGAAGCTTCCTAGAAAGTTCTGAGCGCGTGAACCTGTGTTGTCTGGAAGGTCTGGGCTTGGCCCTGTGGAGGCCGTGTCTCCCCTGGGCGCCCTGCCCCTCCCACCCCAGTCCCTTGTATTTATTTGGTGTTTGCTTGGGAGCCACTTCTGTGCCATCCAGAGGCCGCTGTGGGGTGCTCGGCCTGCTCCAGGCAGGATGGGAGGCCGGTGCCTCAGCAGTAGCCCAAGTCCCTTGTGGGAGGACTGGGGCCTCGGCAGGCCGCGTGGCAAGCCATGGTCAGACTCCTGCCCTCAACCTGCCCCTTGGTTCCCAAGGCCTCGAGTCTGCGTCAGATTCTTTGTGACGCTGCAGAAAAATCCCAAAGGCCCAAAGAGTTCCCACTGTCCCTCAGGCTGCTAGTTGCCTCGCTGCCCCAGGCTGCAGGCCGGCTTTCCACTCCAGTGCTGACTTCAGGGCCCACTGCAGGGGAGCTCTGTGCTGCCGCCCTCCCCGGTTAGCCGTGGGGGGCCTGTGAGCAGGGTCCAGGGGTGCTGGCAGAGGCTACCTGCCACAGGCCCGCTCCACTGCCCACGCTCGCAAGGTGATACCTGGCAGAGGCCTGGGCACATGGAGCACCTCACCCAGCGAATACTCCCATGCTGGACACCTGGGAGCCGTGGCTGCGTTCCCGCTGAGACCAGGGGAGACTGGGAGGGAGCCGAGTACCGGCTGTCCTCGCCGGCCTCTCAGTCCCCAGGGTGGTGGGAGAGACAGGCCGTGATGGTACGAAGCCTCCCGCTTGCGCGGGCACTGGTGTCCCTGAATGCGGGAGCCCGCTGCCAGCTGCCGGCGTGGGTGCGGGCAGACACCCCTTGGGGAGGCTGCTGTTGCCCACATGGGGCGGTGCCACACGTTCCGAGCAGCTGTATCCACAGGACAGCTGCAGTCGCGTGTGCTCTCGTCTCCCAGTGGGCTTAGTTTTAGCGAAGGAAAACACGAACAAATTCAGAAAGGAAAACGTGTTCGGGGTGGCTACAGAAGCCGCTGCTCGTGCGCCCCCTCGCCCAGCCCAGGAGATCTGCTGCAGCGCAGGTGCCTGCTCACCCCGGGGCATCCCCCCCCCCCCACCCCGCACCCGCGGCGGGCCTGAGGCCTGTGGGGAAAAGGAAGACACTTCTGAGGTCCACAGGCAGGTTGGGAAGATGCGGGAAGCAGGAGCCGGTGGTACAGTGGGCCAAGGCTAGGCCGGAGGCTCTTGGGGGGTCTGCTCGGCCCTGGCCTCCTCTCCCGGGGGTCTGCCGGCTCAGCCTCATAACCACCGTCCACCCTTATGGGTGTGGCCTGGCTTCCTCTAGGCGCCAGAAGGGTGTGGGAGTCACTTGGCCCAGGCTGGGGGATTGGGCCTGAAGTCCTGCTGAAGTGACCCAGCCCGACGATGTCGGCTTTTCTGTTGCAGAGGACTCGGGCCAGAGGGTTTGGTTTTGCGTTGACAGGATAAGCCCCGAGAGCCAGGGGTCACGTGGCCTGCTATAGGCATGTTTTTAAGGGTGTGGAGATGCGAGTAGGGAGACTCCCAGGGAGAATTGTGGCCTGGGAGAGGCAGAGGGTGGGGTCCAGTCAGAGCCTGAAGCTGTTGGCCAACGCATATGACCCCCCCAGTTCCGGTGGACGCTGGCCAGGTCAGCACAGGCCCTGGAGTCTGCTTGGGCAGCTTGGAGTTAGTTTTAAAAGGAGCACTACAATGTGGGGGTGCAGCCTGGTCTCGACAGAGAAGATGAGGTCCCTGGTGTGCTGCAGGAAGCTGAGCAGGCGCATCTCTAGCCAGCGGGACTGTCACGGGTTTTTAAAAATCTTTTGACAGGGTCCCGCCGTGAGGGCTGTAGAGTTGTTACGGGGTTGGGAGAGAAATCTGGTCACAAATAAGAAGACGGCACCCCAAGGTGGGAGGAGAGAGCAGCCGTTTGCTGGGTGGGAGAGGTGCTGAGTGGCCCTGGGCGGTGGTGCTGGGCCAGCCTGCAGGGCGTGGGTAGGCGTGACCTGGCCAGGCGCTGAGCAGGGAGGGGTGATGTGCTTTGCCAGCCGGTGTGCAGACAGCCGGGCTGTTCCAAGCAGGTGGTGGTGGTGGCCATCCGGGAAAGGCCCTGGACGCCACTGCCAGTCAGGGAGACCGGCCCTGCGCCCCTGTGGCCGCAGGCCAGCAGTGCTGCTGGGCAGGCCCAGGGCCACAACCGCACGCCACGCTCTGGGCTGTCCCCTTAGGCAAAGGCATGTGTGGCGTCCCGTCTTTTGGTCGAAAAAGGTGGCGCTCGAGCAGTGGTGTAGACGAGGGTGAATCAAAGCCATGTTGGTGCCCAGGGGGTCCTGGGCTGAACCCTCACAGCTGGGACTGGAAATGTGGGGCGTCTGTGTAGGGAACATGACACACGTGCCGCGCCAGCCGGCGTGAAGTTCCCCCCGGACGAGAACATACCACTCGGCCAGAAACGGCCCGAGAGCGAACAAGGATGCGGCCGTGGTGGTTTTCCCGCCGGAGGCACGAAGGCGGCGGGAAGGGTGAGCGGCGGCGGGCAGGGCCGGGCAGCGAGCAGGCTCGGCCGGGACGCAGGACAGGGGCGTGCCCCCGACCCGGGTGGGCGCGCTCAGCGCCATCAGCGCGCTCTCGGGGGGTCCTGGGAGCGGCGGCCTCCCAGGAGAGACGCGTCTGCGGCGAGGCCCAGTCGGTGTTCCTCGCCCTGCTGCCACGTCCCTCCTCGGCGCGTGTCGACCGGCGCTGGCAGTCCTGGAGCCGCACCCCTGGGGTGTCCGTGCACGTTTACATAGGAGTTCTGTGCCCCCCAGGATTGCACATGAAGCTTGCTCTGTAGGCGAGAGGACAAGTTTGGTCGGGGCTGGCGCTGGGCTCTGCTGTGACCGTTGTGCCCGTGTGGTGCGGCTCGTGTGCCCACTCTTGACTCTGCTGTGTCCGGGCGGCGTGTGGCCATGCTTCCTGTGCTGCCCCGCGTCTGTGTGCCCTGAGAGCAGCTGCTGCCCCGGACCCCGCTGGGCCGCCGGCACCTGTGCCCCCAGTTGCCTTCGGCCTTGAGATGCGTTGATGAAGGTGGAGGAGCTCTGTCCCCTCCTCCCGATGCCACAGGCTCGCCGTCCTCTGGGGTACTAGCTAGTTGAACCAAGGGGGTAGACCCTTTTTAGAGGAGACCCCTGAGAGTTTGAGACCCCCAGACCGCCCGTCCCCGCCCCCTCCGCGCAGTGTTTGGCCGGGAGGGGCCGGCTCCTCTGCACAGCAGCTGCTTGGGCGCGTCCGGGCGCAGCCAGGCGTTTGCACTAGGAAGAATCAGTGGTCACTTTTCCGACGCCTTCTATGGACCATAATAAATATATTACGGAGGAACAGATTTTGCTAAGATATAATCTAGTTTTATAACTCAATCATGATCAACCCTGTGTGGCTAACTTGCAGTTAAAGGGGTCCCATCAGTGAAAACCAGATTTTTTTTTAAAAAGGACTGCTTTTCATTAAAGTTAAGAAAGTCGTCTTGTCAAAAGGTCTAAAGCTTCCCACCGCGATCTTAAAAGCATGTCAAACAATCCACGAGATGCCAGAGACGCCAACTGCAAGAGAAATGGTACAATCTTAGTGAATGGAAATTGGAGTCAAAAGGTTTGCTGTCCTTCTTAGAATGTTCTAAAATGTCAAGGGAGTTGCTTGTGTTTAACTGTGAACAAATAAAAATTTATTGTTTTGCACTACTCTGCTGTGTTATTGACATGAAGTGACTCCGGCCTCTGAGGGGCCTCCAGGCAGAGCCAGGACCAAGACGCGGAAACCTCTGGCTGGTGCTGGCCGGTGGGGTCTGGCTTTGGTCCCTAAGCCCCTTGTGCTGGTGGTATCTGGCCAGCAGCCACCCCACCTGCTTCATCTGCCGGGTTCCGCCTTCCCCCAGAAGGCTTGGCGGTGTGGGAGGGAGGCCAGGAAGTGGCCACTGCCATCCTGCCGCTTTGAGTGTGCCCCCACCTGCGGTGTCCCCCGGGCCCTGGTGGGGGCGCTGGCGTGGGCCCGGGCCCTGCCGCTGGGGCTTGTGTGTGGAGGGCAAGTGCCGCTGCCCACCCTGCCGTCCAGTTGGGCAAGTGTTTGTGGGAAACTGCCTTTAAGTGACCTAGGTCCACCGTGGCTCGCTTGGGACGGCCCGGCGAGGGCGGGCGCGCTGTTAGCCATGCGGCCTCCGCGGCTGCCCTGGAGACTCGCGTGCTGCCCATGTTAATGGCAGAGGCAGCTCCTTGGAGGCAAAGACTCGGCAGTGGCCATCCTTAATTCTGTCTGGGAAATTCAGATGTTCTCGTCTGAGCCCGTGCCTCACTGTTCAGGGGGTGCAGGCTGGCCCGGGGTCTCTAGCAGGCAGTGCTTGGGGGCAAACTTTCGGCTGAGCACCTCCTGTCCGCGGGGCGGCCGTGGCAGTGGTGTTCCGGGGGCCCCCTGATGCCTCGGGCACGTGGTTTTCTTTAAGGGGTGGATCCCAGGAAACCAAGCCAGGCAGGGAAGTGGCAGAACACTTTTTATTCTTGACCGTCGCCCCCGAGGAAGCAAGAATACAGAAGCTAAGTCTCCCCCTGTGAAGGGAAAAAGCAACAGTCAGACAGGACCCCCGGCCAGCTCCGAGGCCCGTGGCACGTCAGCCGACATCTGGGCTGTGGCTGCTCTGGAAACCAGGCCATTGTCCTTGTACGTCATCAGAGGCTGCCGGCTCCTCCGCATCCCCGCTCCGTGGACAGCAGGGGGAGGGGCTCGGACACCTAACCGCACTGAGGAAGACCATGGGCAGCCCCCGCGTGCCCCGGGGAGGCGGGAGCAGCCCTGTCTGCAGAGAGCCGGTCCCGGTGCCTCCACCTGGAAGCCCAGCTGATGGCAGCTGGGCCTGGGTGTGGGAGTGGGTGCACGGAGGAGTCATGGGACCCGGCCTGCCTGGACACCCTCTACCAACACACTGGGGGTCCTCTTCAGGGGCACAGAGCCCGCCGCTCAGAGGAAAGGTGAGTGGCTAAGCAAGGATGGGAGGTTCTCGTCACTGCCTGGGCTTAGTCGGTGGCCGGGACTGTGGGTGCCCCCGAAAGGGAATCAACCAGCGGAAAGCAAGCTAGCGACAAAGCACCCCACGCAGGAGCAGGTCTCGGCTGGGTCAGAGTTTCCCACCAGCTGGTCTCCAGGGAGGTTTGGAACGTGCTTGGTCCTTCCCCCTGGGCGAGCGGCCGTCTTTGGTGAGGTGCCTACTCTTTGGCTTTGTGAGCCAAGGCTGGGCACCTGAGCTCTGGTGAGGACCAGCGGCGGCCCCAGTGGCCTCCTGGCACGCCTGGGGCACACTCACATGCTGCAGCACCTTGCGGGGCAGCTTCTCCGAGTGGGCGATCCATTCCTTCATCAAGTCGAGGACCAGCGGGATGAGGCTGACCACGCCCCCGTAGTGGTTCTTGGCCTCGTCACAGCTGAGGTGGTTGACCACGTCGTGAGGGTATCTGCGGGGTGAGGCGGCGCCGGTGAGCCCTGCCAGGGCCACCAGCCACGGCGAGCAGGACAGCCCCGGGGGGGTTGGGGGCTGAGCCGGCTCCAGGCCAGGCTCTCCGTTGCGGCTCTGGCTCGGCCGGGGCCGGGCTCCACGGGTCCCTCGCCTGTATGTCCGCCCCAAATCTGCTCAGCCCCTTGGCCGCGTCTGACCCTGCTAGCTGACCACCTTCCTCGAGAATCTGGCGCTTGGTGCTGTGGGTGCCCGGGCCTGGAAGTCAGGCATCACCGTGGTGCCCCCACAGGGACAGGCTCCCGGGCCTGTGGCCCCCTCCCTTGCCCGGGGCTTGCGTTCTGCCTGCGAAGCCTCAGGTACAAGGAAGAAATGGGCAGAGGACGAGGAGAGAGATTTAAAAAGTTGGTGCGCTCGGAGCGACTCCAGGGTGCCAGCGGGCCGGCTGCCCTGGGAAAGCCTGGCAGCGGCCCTTCGGCTCCCCAGCCCAGACTCACCTGCCTTCTGGGCAGAAGGCTGCTCCTTCCTGGGGACACCCTGCTGTCCTGCCCGTGCCCCCGCCCCCCCGCCCCGTGGAGGCCTGCAGAATGGCCCCAGAGTGCACTCACTTGGCTCGAAGGTTGCTTAAATCGTTGCTCTGGCTGACGAGGGTCTTGCACTTCTCGAGGATGTTGTTGGTGACGGGGGTGCCAGTGTGCAGGGCCTCGAAGTGCTGGCAGAGCCTGCTCAGCTCCGCGCAGATGTCCAGGAACATGCGCAGGATGCGCCGGCTGGTGGAGCTGTGGCAGTGGTGGTCCATGTAGTCCTGCACCTGTAGGGCCGGGGCGTGAGCTGGGCCCGCTGGGCCACCAAAGATTGCCAGCCTCCCGGAGCGGCCCAGGTCCTGGGCCGGGGGCTCCCCAGTCCTGCTCTCCATCTTCTGCCCCTGAGCCCTGTGCTCCTGGTACCTGTGCAAGTCCTCCTCTCACAGGGGAGCACAGGCGCCTCGGGGGGGGCCCAGCTGGGCTCCGCCCCGGCTCCCTGCCTGTACCCTCAGAGTCCCCGTGCTCCCGGGCCTCAGGCAAGAGAGAGCTGGTCTCCAGGTCCACGCGTCAGCCCCCCTAGAGGGCCTGCTTTGAGAGCCACCCAGCTGGGCCTCGCAGATGGAGGCGCCCGCGGAGGTATTGAGCGCGCCCCCACCGCCCCGGGTCGCAGCGTGGACGGGAGGGGCAGGATGGCCTCGGAGCTGGGAAACGCCCGCCTCTACCTCACGTCATAGGCCAAAACCAGCTCTAGAAAGAAGAGCTCCGAGGCCCCAAAACCAAACAAAAACTTGAATGGGGGTGCGTTTTAGAGGCAGGAGCCGGGCACGGTCAGTCATAACAGGTGCTCGCGACAGTGGGTCCGCCGATCCGCTTTCAACTCCTCTCCTCGGGGGAGTGGGAAGTGGGGCCCTTCTGGGTTGGGCTCGTCCCCCAGCGTGGCCGGTGACCACCCAATCACGCTGGCTCTGAGGTCGGGCAAGGAGGGCGTGACCTTGTGCCGGGGAGGGCCTGGCTCCGGACCAGGCAAGATTAGCCACCGGTTCCGCAGCCCGGCACTCTCCCCCTGCACCCGAGGGGCCGGCCCTGCCTCCCCCGCCCAGCCAGCCGAGTCCACGCCGGGCTCTCCCGCTGCCCAGCTGCCCCTGGTTGCCAGGGGACGTCTTCCCAAGGAGCCGAGTGCAGTTTGGTGCGGGAGACAGGCTTTGACACCCGGGGGCGTGCTGGGGGCCGTGGGGGCAAAGGAGCACCTGCAGCCCCGGGTACCTACGACAGGTGGGTGTGCCCCGACCTCTGCCACCCTGCCGTTGGGTGGGCGTGCGGGCGAGTCTGCCCATGGATAGTCAGACCTCGTGGCCGCGTGCCCTACGCAAGAGGGTGCTCCTCGGTGCTCGGGCAGGGGGAATGGTGCTGAGCACTGGAGGGTTCCCGGGGCTCCTTCCACGCCTGGACACCTGTTGGTTCCCCTGCAAGCCTGAGCTTTGGGAGGCGGGCCAGAGCGGATCGCCAACTTCCTTTCCCGAGCTCAGGGGGAGGGAGGGCGTGTTGTAGGCACAGCAAGCCCGGCAGGGTGCCCCCTGGGGAAGCTGGGGAAGGGTAGGGGTGCCTGTGGGCTCAAAGTGTTTCCAGAAACTGGGAGAAACTTTTGTGCAAGTTTGTAACAGGGTGCCACCTGCCAGGCTGCTGTTTTCGGGGCTTTGTGTGTTTCCGGGCAGTCCTGGGCCCGGCCCCCCCGCCGCAGCAGCCTGTGGGGGTCGGCCTCCGCGAGCTGACTGCCGGGTGGACACCGCTTCTGCCGAGAGGCCCGGCCTGGCTGTGTGTTCCCGGAGGGCTGGGTCTCCAGGCCGCCCAGCTCGATGCAGACGGCAGCTGACCCGCCAGGTGGGTGGAGGCGAGGATGTGTCTGCAGACGTGACAAGCCACATGCTTGGCGTGTTGAATCTCAACCCCGGCGCAGCTGGACACCCTGCGCCGTGCGTGTCCATCAAGGCCCTGTCCTGAGCCTGGGGCTGCAGACGACCCAGACACACAATTTCATTCGGCCCGTGCACCAGCCCTGGGCGGTGCGTGTCTCTCTCAGATAAGGAGACTGAGGCCAGAGGGGTGACCGTGGCCCCGATCCCGGCTGCAGCAGGTTTTAGGGCCCATCGCTCCCGGCTGGCCGAGCGTCCAGCCCGCCTTTTTAGCCACAGTACCTGCACACGCGTGCTGAGAAACAGAAGGCGGGGTCTGAGTCTGGCCTGGCACAAGCCTGCTGCCCCTCCCTGGGCCTCAGTCTCCTCATCTTCCCAGCGGGGAACGGTGCGCCCGACCCCTCCGGTCTGGGGGACCACCCGACCCCCGCCCGCCAGGAGCCACCTGTCCGATGCTGGAGATGGGCCGGATCTTGTCGTGGGCGTCCTCGCGGCAGTGCTCCAGGGCACCGATGAAGGTGAACTGCTGCTGCTGGAAGAGCTTGTACCTCTGCTCCACGTTCCGCAGGCTTTCTTTGACCTCGTTCATCGTCGCCGCCGTCGTGGTGACCGTGGAGAGGACTCTGCGGGGGGACGCATGAAGTCCTGGGGCTGGACCCGCGGACCGGGCTCCGGAATCGGAGAGGGTGCCGCAGCCCCTCGAGGCGGAGCCGTTCCCCGCGGCCCCAGGGACGCGCACTGCTTCCAGCCCCATTTTTCAGGGGCGCAAAGGAGCCCCAGGGGGACGCCCGTTTACACACGATCCACCCTTGTCCACAGCAGAACTGAGCCCACCCCGAGTCCATCCACGTCAGGGACATGCCCTTTGCCACAAAAGCGGTTTCCTTTGCCCAACCGTGGACAAGGACTTCCCTGGTCCTCAGTTTCTTCAAACTGTGGAAACACACGCACACACCGCACACGCACTCTCGGCCTTCAAGGCCTCCTTGTGTGGCCAGCAGCAGCAGGCTGATGCCCAGCAGACAAAACTTGTGATTTTGTCCGTTTGGACCAAATTGCTGTAAAACGTGACACTGCAGCTGGCGGGGAAGCTGAGGGGCGCTCGGGCAGGCAGGGAGGGTCAGCCGTCCCTCGTCTCTGAGAAGCTGCCATCCCTGCTCGGCTCCCTGCTCAGGCGGTGCGCGGCAGCAGTCCGGACCTGGGGCTGGCCCGCTCCCCGCCCCCCCACCCCCAGCACTGGCTGCCAGCGCCTCCTCCCGGCCACCTGTGTTAACTGCGAGGACGTTCACACTGCAGAGAGCTCCAGGCTCCCAGCAGCCACACACCCCCAAACCGCCTCTGTGAGCAAAAGGCTGCGGGCCCGTCCCGTCACCTCGCGGTTCTGCTGAGCACATTCTAGGTCACAGATTTATGGAACCCCGGAGCTGGAAGGGCCTCTGTGTGCTGTCCCCCTTAAGGTCCAATGGGAGCGGGGGCGGGGGATAGGGTCCAGAGAGTCACAAATGTGTGCCAGACACACCCAGGTCCTACCTTCCCGACCAGGGGCCTCTAAGAGCCCAGGTGGTGCCATGCGGCACCCCATTCAGCCCCGCCTTGGACCCGGCCCCAGCAAGATGCTGCAGGTGGAAGGAGCCAGAACACTTGGCAAGAATGGGGGTGGGGAGGGGCGTGCCAGGCTCCCTGGCAGTCCCCGAGAACAGGATGGAGCCGAGTGTCCCGCATGTCCTGAGCCCAGGGCTGGGCTGGGGCCCAGAGGCGGCTCCACAGCTAGAGGAGGCCAGAGGGGTGACAGACCAGAAGGTGCCCCATGGCGGGGTGGGTGGGAAGCCGGGGCTGGGGGCTGGGGGCTCAGCTGCAGCTGGGCGGCCATAAAGGAGTCACACCAGGAGGGGCCCTGACAAGGGACCTCATAAACCTGTGCCAGCTACTGTAAGTCAATCGAGCCTGCGTCCCCAGCGGCGTCCACGGTGACCCCGGGAGCCCCACGCCAGTGTCTCCGACAGAGCAGCTCCACGCTCGCCTGAAGGGGACTCACGGGAAGGGGGTGCACTGCTCGTTGAACACCTGCCACCACCTCGGCATGCGGCCTGCCCCCTTAAAAGGAGGCAGAGACACAGTGAACTTGGGGTGCAGTGGGCTAGCCAGGGAGGCGCTCCCCTCAGGGCGAGATTGAAGGGGACGCCAGGACACTGGGTGGCCGAGGTCGAGAAGGACATCTAGCGCACTGTTTTTGAAAATCAGTTACCAGCAAGCCGCCCACGAGAACAAGCCGTCAGAATTTTAAATACAGACAGGACGAGGCGGCGCTGGCGTAGGCTGGAGCCTGAGGCCGAAGCAGTCACCGCGGCCCTGTCTTCATTTAAAGCTTTGATATTTTATTCTAAGTGGATTTTTGCATTAATTCCAATTTTTAAAATGTTGCATTAAATGACGCTATCTTGATTATGGGGCTCCGGGCGCCCCGTGTTTTGTGCTGAGGAACTGCCTGACCTGCTTCACCCAGCAGGGGCCAGGCTGGCTGGGGCGTGAAGACCTAGGAAGTTCTGAGCCTGCACAGAGCGGGTGCTGGGGGCCTCGAGCCCGCCTTCCCCTGAAACACGCAGGGTTGGGGGCCAGTGGGTGAGAACCAAGCTCCGGAGTCCCACCGTCCAGGGTTCAAATCTCAGGCCCTCCACCTTTTGCTGGTCCGGGGTCAGCCGGTCACCCCAAGCCTCCGTGCCCCGACCGCCCACGGGGAGACGCCAGCTTCAGCGTCCAGCCCGGGGCAGCACTGCAGGGGACACAGCAGTGTGTGGCGCAGTGGCCGGAGCTCAGGGGGTCCGTGCCGGGCCTGCGGGAGCGGTCAAAGCCCTACGACCGACCAGTGTGCATGCGGTAAGGGGGGGAGCACGTGGGCACGGTGGATGCCCTGCCCGAGCCCCCCCACCAGGGTCCGGCTGGCTGGGCCCCGGGGCCTGGCTTCCACTGCCGCGGGACTTCCCTGCTCCCCTCTCGGAGTAATGAGGACGAGCGGGCGGGGCTGCCCCGGGTGCCCGCTCCCCGCCCCCACCGGGCTGCCCGGGGCTGCCAGGCTCTCCAGGGATACAGCACTACCTTGGCTGGTGGCCCCAAGAGCCCCGAGAGCAAAACTGACTCGGTTCTTGATCCTAGCAGCTTGTGACACGCGTGTCAGGGATGTTGCGAGCGCGGCTGTAACGAGCTCTCCGAAGCCAGCGTCCCGGAACGAGCGTCGCTGCCGCCGAATTAGTCGGGATGAAAGGCACGGGGCGCGGGCGGCTCGGTCTGCGGGAGGAGGAGGGGAAAACTGATTACCCGATAGGTTTTAGGCTTTAATTGATTTGTATTTTTCCAGGCTGCGAAAGAAGATGAAATCGAGGTATGAAAAGCGCCTAGGGCTGAAAATAAATGAGGAGAAAGGCAAGTCGTTTCAGAAATGTCCAGGAAGCGAGTGGAAGCCTCCGTGCAGACTCGGTGGTTGTGCTCTTTGTTCCGGGGAGGCAGCTTCCGTCTCTTCCCAGCTGGCTTTGCAGTTGGGCTTGACAAGCCTACCAAGGCGGGCGTGCTTTGAGGAGGCAGATCTGAGGCGGAGAGGCAGCGCCCCGGGTTTTACTGTCAGAGGCCATTTCCCTGGCTGTGGGCGGGGGACAGGCCCTCGCTGGCCTCAGGGCACCTGCTAGAGGCCTGGCTCTGCCTTTGATTTAGCAGAGACCTGGTCCCAGCGAGTCCCCCTGCCTGGGCCTCGGTTTATCCACCTGTAAGGTGAGGGAGTTTGGTTTAGGGCTTTTCAGGGGGCCTCGTGATGCTAATGCGCCATGATCAACTAGTCAGGCAATTGGCCCCGAAAGGGGAAGCGCCTCCTCCCCCCTCAGCCAAGCCCCCCGGCACTGGGATGCTCGCCCACAGCCCCCTCTGTAACGGGGCTGGAGAAGCCTTTCCTCGGGGCTGTGGCAGGGGAAATGCCAACACTGCTAACAGCGGCCCCTGCTTGGGCGGCTCACCACCTGCCTGCACCCCGTGGAAGGCGGGGTGTCACCGGGGAGGGACGGGAGGCACAGGCAGGGCAAGTTTCCCAACTTCTCAGGCCAGTAAGTGGTGCAGCCAGGCCCAGAACTCTTTACCGCTCCTTCTCCACAAAGCACCCCAACCCCGCGCTTTCATCCAGGGCCCAAACACGGCAGCCCCCACTAAGAACGGCGGCGCACGAGCTGGCGCCCCCAGTTCGGCGATGAGTCAGAGGCTGGGTGGCCCCCATCCCACCTCCCCGGCCCGGGGCGGCAGCGGAGGGAGGGCCCCTTCGTTCTCCGAGCCCCCCACGGTCCGGCCTCGCACCCGCTTTGACCTTGCTCGTTCTAGAGCGGCCTTCGCCTCCCGGAGCGTCCTGAAGTCCGAGTGGCTCGGTGGGTCCGCGGGGTCTGCAGGCCCTTCCCGGGGCCGGGGCTGGGGCCGGGGCGGGGCCGCGGCCTGATTGTTACCGTCGGTGCCATAGCAATCGGTCACGTGGCGGCCCCGCCCGGCCCGGCCCGGCCGCGGGCGGCTGAGCCCTGAGCGCCCGCCCCGACGCCCCTCTCTCCCCAGTGCCCGCCCCGACGCCCCTCCCTCCCCGAGGGCCCGCCCCGACGCCCCGCCTGCCCCGCCCTCCCCACCCGCCCCGACGCCCCTCCCTCCCCGAGTACCCACCCCGACGCCCCTCCCGCCCCGCCCGCCCACCCCGACGCCCCTCTCCCCCCAGCGCCCGCCCCCGACGGCCCTCCCTCCCCGAGCGCCCGCCCCGACGGCCCTCCCTCCCCGGGCGCCCGCCCCGACGGCTCTCCCTCCCCAGCGCCCGCCCCCGACGCCCCTCCCTCCTCAGCGCCCGCCCCCGACGCCCCTCCCTCCCCAGCGCCCGCCCCCGACGCCCCTCCCTCCCGAGCGCCCGCCCCCGGCGCCCCTCCCTCCCCTCCCGCCCGCCCCGACGCCCCTCCCTCCGGTCCCTCCCGAGCGCCCACCCCCGGCGCCCCTCCCGCCCCTCCCGCCCCCGACGCCCCTCCCGCCCCCGACGCCCCTCCCGCCCGCCCCGACGCCCCTCCCGCCCGAGCGCCCGCCCCGACGCCCTAGGGTCGAGCACGGGGAAACTGAGGCCGGAGGCCGGGGCTGGGCTTGACCCACGAAGTTCCTCGTGCCCGGGCCTGGGCGCGCTGGCGGAACCAGGCCCCCCCCGGGGCCGACGTGCCTATGGGGGCGCTCCTCCCGGGTCCCGAGGGGCCCCGCCGGCAGGGACGCCGGGGGCGGGGGCCCCGGAGCCGAGGACGAGGCCGGGCCGGCGGCTGGGCGCGGGCGGGGAGACCCCGGCCGGGGGCGCCAGCCTCGGGGACCCGCGGGCGGCGGGGAGCGGCGCGCGCTGATGACGTGAGGCGCCCCTAGCGACGGCGGTTGCCAGGGAGCGGCGCGCGCTGATGACGGCGCCCCTAGCGACCGCGGGGCGCGGGGAGCGGCCTCGCGGCTCCGCGACATGGACGCGACCACCGCCCCGCACCGCATCCCCCCGGAGATGCCCCAGTACGGGGAGGAGAACCACGTCTTCGAGATGATGCAGGTGACCGGCCGCCGCCCGCCCCGACGGCCCCCGCCACTGGGGCGCGTCGTGCCCGCGAGGCCCCCCGCGCCCCGACGGCCGCCTCCGGAGACGCCCCGCCCCGGCCCTGCCCGCCCGCAGGCCCCGCGGGAGGAGGGGGCGCGGGCCCCCTGGCCGGGACCCGGCCCCTTCCGGGGCGCAGGGCCCCATCCGTGCGGGCGGGCGGCGGCCCCCGGGGGGCACCCCGCGCCGGCCGTGCCGTCTGCAGCGCCGCTTCTCAGGGGGCCGCAGCCCCGCAGCCCTTCCCCGGCGCCGCGCCCCTCGGGTGGACTCCAGGCTGGCCCCTGCCCCGAAGGGCGCCGCTCCCCGTGTGACTGAGGCAGAGCCCAGCCCCTGCGTGTGCTCCAGGGTCCCTTCTCCACCGCCTGGAGGTCCAGGCTTCCTGGCGGGCTGCGAGCTCTGAGCTACTCGGCTTCTGGGGACTAGAGGGAAGGAAAGCAGAGCAGGGCGCGCCCCAGCCCCAGCAGGTGCCATGGCGACACCTGTGGTCATTTGGGCCTCTGACCTGTCCACGCAAGAGCAGAGCTCACGCTTCTGGAGAACCCTGCGTGTCCACTCTCAGCAGACAGGCTTCCCTTGGGAGTGTGACCTGGCAGGGAGGGAGGGGCTCCTGATGCCGGAATCCTAAGTAAAGAAGATGTCTGGCTGATCAGAAGCTGGGCAGCTGCTGGGCCCTGGGCCTCCCGGCCCCCCCAGGCGCTGTGGGCTGCTCTGGGCTGTGGAAGGGGCACCCGAGAAAGCCTCTACTCCAGGAGGTCCGGCCTTTTGTCTTCTGTATGTGTGTCCCTCTGTGGATGTACCACGGCCACTGTTCTAAAATAGAGCATTTTCATTTTAAAACAATTTTAGCCCCACAGGAACTTATACAGATAGTAGAGTTCTGGTTTGCCCTCTGCCCGGCTTCCCCCAGGGAGGACACCTGAGCAGTGCACGTCACGACCCGGCGACTGACCCTGGTGCCGCTCTTACCTGGGCGCCAGCCTTGGCTTCATCCGTTTCCCCTGCACTCGAGTTTCTGGCTCCGTGAAGCCGACGACACAGGGAGAGTCACAGACCCAGTGCCCGCTTCCATTTTAACATAATAAAAAAGGACTACTTTTACCTCCTCCTGAGCACCACCGCTGAGATCACAGGACATACAACTATTTAAAAGTGAAATTAAAAAATATTGGTCTGAGCCATCTGAACTCTTACCATCCTGCCAGTGAAATGGAACCCGGGATTTCTTCCTCTCGGGTGCAGTGGGCAGCTGGCCCAGGGGAGGGAAGGAATTGCTGGTGAGCGCGTGTCAGCCCTCTTTCTACTGCCCTATACTCACCCTACCCCCCCCCCAGCTGAAGCCCCTCCCCGCTGGCCTGAGAATGGAAGGATGCCCCTTACCCCACCAGCCGGCCCTAACAGCCACCCGACTGTCCACTGCCATTTGTTCTGGAGCCATGGCATCTGCTTGCTTTGGGCATGAAAAGGCCCGAATAGCCAAGACTATTTAGATACTCTGGAGGGACAAAGGTGATGGCTTGTCCCTTTGCAGACATCTGCATTGGCACCTACGGTGATGTGCCAGGCACTGGGGTAGGGCAGGCAACAGCGGGGATGCAGGGGGCTGCAGCAGCACGTGACAGGTGTACCTGGTGAGCATGACCAGGAAGGCAGTTTCCACTGACCTCTGCAGGCTGAGGAAAAGTATCAAGCGGAGGGAACAGCATTTACTAAAGCTCTGGGGGTGAGGGAGCAGGGCACATGAGTAGGCCGAGGGGGAGGGACCCGGGCAGCCAGCTCAGAGCCTGGGCCCCTCCAGCTCGGCCTCCCTCCAGGAGCCTCTCCAGCAACTGCCATGTGCCCCTGCCCACCCTGCCTCTGCTCTCGGGAGCCCCAGTGGAGCCCGCTAGGGCAGGGGCAGGGTCCCAAACTGAAGGCCTGTGTGGTGGGGCGCAGGGGAGGGATCGGGCCCCATAGGCAGGATCCATGTCGAGGGGGCTGTGGAGCCACCTAGCCTGGGGCCTGGTTGTCTGTGCAGGTGGTAACCCTGCTGTCTGCCTCTCGCCTGCAGGCGATGCTGGAGCAACTCCTGATCCACAAGCCCCCGGACCCCATCCCGTTCCTCATCAGCCACTTGCAACAAAACAACGATAATGGTGAGCACTGGGGAGCTCTGGGGTCGGCCTCCGCCCCCTCCCCTGACCTCCGCCCTCCCTTCTCTTGCCGGGAAGAGCTGGGAACCGCTGTATCCTCCCGAGTCTGAAGGGAGGTCAGAGCACCGTGGGGACGGGTCTGGACAACTCAGGGTGGTAGTTAATTAAAAACACCTTAATTTCTTCTGGAGCAGAACAAATCAAAATTCTCTTGGCAAGTTATTAAAATGAGAACCTGAGACTGGCCCATGGAATCAATTATTAATGCTTCCGTGTGCCCAGCTGATGCCGCCTGCCGGGTGGAAGCTCTGTGATCACTCCATGTGGCAGGTGCAAAGTTCAGCGTCTGGCCTGCCTGGGCAGTGGCACGTGGGTGCTCCTGACCGTCCTGTATCATTGCCCACTAATGAGTCTGGTGCTGCCCAAACCTCCACCGAGGCACAGGTCGGCTGGACCCCAGGCCAGAGTGTGGGGAGCAGGGACCAAGGAAGAGGGGTTCCCTTCCCCGGGCGGATTCGCCAAGGCGAGGACCGTCTCCATCCCGTGAGAGCCGTCAGGGAAACTGGCGTCCTTGAACTTGCACGCGGCTCTTGTTGGACCACCAGCCGCTTTGAAGGAGCTGCCAGCACATCAGTGAAGGGAGCACCTGGCGCAGCTGAGGACAGAGCCCCAGATGCCCGACCGTGGCGCTCAGGACGCCCAAGACGAGAAAGGACGCTAAGGAGCCGACCCAAAACCCTGATGTGGAAGAGAGTCCCTGCAGGTGCAGCCGCCTGGCCAGGACGCCCTGCCCGGCCACCGCCGCGTCAGGTGTGGCTGCAGAGCCGGCGGGAGGGGCCTCCTGGTCCCGGTGCCATTTTGTAGACCCAGGCAGGTAGTTCAAGAGCCCCCTCAGAGCCCCTTTCTCAGCCTCTGGCTGGGCAGCAAGGCGGGGTGAGTGAGCCCCCAAACCCTCGTGGAGAGAGGTGTGCCCAGGGTGGGAGCCCCCTTCTCGGGCTGGCACTTTGCCTCTTGTGCGTGCCCTTCTCTCCTGCTCTGGGGACTGTGTCTCTGCCTGTCTCCGCGTTACTGGCTGATGCTGGCAGCGCCGTGCGCGCTTCAGAGACGCGGGGTCCCCCTCCGCGGCCGATGTCTCCCCGCCTCCACGCATCTCTGCCCCAGAGACCCCGGAGCGGCCGCTGCGCCCGGTCGCCTGTCACGAGCAGGCGGAGGCGCACCTGCCGCGCAGGTGGGTGTTGCGCCTCCCTCTGTCCCGGCCGCCCCGCGGTCGCCCACCTCGCAGGCCTCAGGGGCCACCCCGTGCCTGGACAGGGCGGGGCTGATGCCCCCTGCCCTTCCCGAGGGGGCAGCACTGCCCGTGCCCACCGCCGCTGCAGCCCCTTGTCCAGATCCCACTGCTCTTCCCGCCGCTCCGGATCGAGCAGGGCAGGGGAGCGAAGTGAAAGTAGGGGACAGTGAAAGCAAAGAACGAGCAAAGAGAAGGGAAAAGCGAAGCAAAAGCTGACATAAAACTGAAAGGAAAGTGAGAGCAGAGCAAAAGTGAACTTGAGGTTCTGCGGCTGCGCCCTTTCTGCCTTCAGGACCCTACAGTTCATGGATCCCCCAAATTCTAGAAAGAAATGGTGAGAGATCCTTGCCCTCTGGGCCTCAGTTTCCTCCTAGCACAGTGGGCTTTGGGGACTCACCGAGATGGGGCGGGGCGCTGAGGCCCCGGCCTGTGGGTGGTGGCCGCAGGAAGCGCCTCTGCCACTGGCCAGGCTTCGGGGTGCCGGCCCTGATGCTTTGAGGGCTCAAGTGGGTGGTGCAGGTCGAGTTGCCACTTACGAAAACTGTACTCGGATTTTTCCAAATTAGGAATTGTACTTGCTAGTAACCGACTCACTTGAGCCCTGAGAAGTTGGGGTGCGATGGTTGAAAGACTCTCCTGAGAGGCGTCTGTGCCCCGTGTGCCCTCAGAGGCGGAGCGCAGCCCGGGGCTGGACCCCCACCCCCCCCGCCTGGGAGTCCAGAGCCTGAGATTTGAGGCTGATCCCGGTTTTCCGTGTTTGCAGCTCGGTCCTCGGCGAGCAGACCTCATTGTCAGGCAGACAGCCCAGCTGTGGTCGCCGTGCAAACGGCAGCTTCCTGTCCGGGCGCAGCGCAGCGGCCGCTGCCTCCTGCCGCCCCCTCCCCTTCCCCCGCAGCTTCACGCTGCCCGCGGCGGCTCACATTACACAGTCACACGCACCCCACATCGCTCACCGTGCACGAGTCACAGGCTTCGTGCGCATCACACACCTCACACACTGCAGACCGCCTGGCTCATGCGTCCCCGGCACATTGTACACGTCACACATGGCACATGCTACTAAATCTGCTTTCCTCGCGGTGAAGGGGCTGCCAGCCTACGTGCCAGGGCCTCCCCTGCTAGGACAGCAGAAACCAGCTGTCTTAGCTCCGGCTCAGGCAGGCCTGGTCTGTCCTGGAGCCCACTGTGGTGAGCTGGAGGCCAAGCTTGGGGTCCAGCTACTGTCCCAGGAAGTAGTGTCGTGGGATCGCATTACTTCCGTTTGGGGGGCTGATTTGTTCCCGGCAGCCCTGTTGGAAGCTGGGCCACCTCTGCCCTGCAGCGCCCATCCCAACTGCGTGAATGAGAAGAATGGACCTCCACTGTCCCTGCAAGCCCTGGCGGGGTGGGGAGGCCCCTGGCTGGTGGTTCTGGGCCTCCGCCCGGCATCCTGCAAACATTCCACCACCCTGGGCTAGTGCATCAGAGGCCAGGCTTCCCGGTCAGCCCACGCGGCCCTCTGCTCACCGCCACGGGTGCTGCATGGGCAGCGGCTCACTGACACGGGGGCTGGGCAGCCAGTGTGCCCGGGGAGGGAGCAGAGGGGGAGAAGGCGCTGGACTCGTCCTGGTGGGCGAGGGGCGAGGGGAGGCCCTGGCACATGGGCTGGCAGCCCCTTCACCGCGAGGAAAGCAGATTTAGTACAAAGTGAGCATTTACAGTAGCCCTGGGCAATATTAAAGCAGGCGACGGTGTATATAATTGTATGTTTCGTTTTTTATCAAACGTTTGTCCAAGAAAGCTGTGTATTAGAGCTCCAATACCTGGGGGTTTTCTTGTGAATTTTAAATCATGCTCCTAGTTAAACCTCAAAAGGATCTGCGGATGGAAAGGTTTTTTGATTTCCTTTGAAGTGGTTGGAAGAAGTTGATTACTCTTGGCAGTCAAGCAGCCTTTTATGACACTGTTTATAAATAATTACTCATGAGCAGGGCTGGAGTTTCAAGGTGTTAGATTTGAAGAAACTGAAATTAATCACATAAGTGTGGGGAGAAATTAGGTGGGGAGAAAGGCCGCGCATGTTCCCCTTTTAAAGTCTTTTCCTCGATGCGTGCAGCTGGGGTGTCGCGTACGGAGCCCAGGGAGGGCGTCCCCTGCGGCCTCCCACACGAACGGTGGGCCTGGGGAGTGGGCTCCGGCCCAGGGCGCTGGGCCTGCTTCTCCCTTCTTGGGCTGCGGGCCCTGAGCCCCGTGGGTCTGGGTCTGGCCCGGGGTTCCCAGCAGTTTCAGCAGAGGCCTGTGGTTGAGCCTGGTGGGGGGACAGCCGGCCGGCGACAGGAGCCAGACCCGCGCCTCCCACCCCACCCAGCTGCGCCCTTACTCTGCCTCTGGCAAGCAGGTGCGCTCCCCGTGGTCTGAAAGCCCCCACTCTAGGCCCCCCTCTCCGCTTCTGTAATGCTGCCCTCCCCCACCTTTGTGGCACCCCAACTCCAGTCCCCCTCATTATTTCACCTGACCACGTATCCCCAAAGCCTCATTCCCAGACTTCCGCCGCCCTCCCTCCCCCAGCAGTTTCCTGCCTGCAGCGGCTTCTCCTGTCCAGGTGGGGGCACTGGCAGGCCTGGCCCAGTCATCCCAGGCAGGGACGGGGAGCAGAATGCCTGCCCTGGCCCCCACCCTAGCCACCGAAAGTGCCCTTCTCCTGGGTGGTCCTGAGCTCACAGGCCCAGGGAGGCCCAGACTCTGTTGGCAGCCTGGGGGCACTTCCATGGTGGCCCTGCGCAGCCTGGCCCTGGTGGCGGCTCTGGGGTCCACAGACGTGAGCAGCCAGTGTCTGGTGCCGGCGTGGCTCAGCTCCCACACCTCTTGGGGACCTTCATGGGGCCATCGTTCCTGATGAGGTGCCCCGGGCCTGCCTCCTACCTGTGCAGGACTTGGGCTACCCTGCTGTCCTTTGAGCAACCCCCTACTCTGCTCGGCCCTGCTGCTTGGGCCCTGCGGCTCACGTTTGAGAATGCCAGCAGGGAGAAAGGTGCCTTTGTGGGGGGCAAAGGCGGCCACGGGTGGGGGCAGAAGAGGAGGAGGCCGCTGGGGTGCTGCTGTGTGCGTGGCTGCTAGTGCTCCGGCTGCGGTCAAGGAGGGTAGGCTTGGCCGCCCCAGGGAGCGCGTCCTCTGTGGGGACAGCAGCACCCCGCTGAGCAGCAAGGAAAGCTCAGTAGCCTCAGCCAAAATCTCCCAGGAGGAGGCTAGCGGGGCTGAAGGGTGGACGCTGAGGGGGTTGAGGCAAGGAGAGCGCCAGGTGGAGCCTGGAAGGGCTGCCTCTGGTGGAATGAGCGGGAAGGGGGTCTGGATGGCCCCTCTGGGCCCAAGAAGACTTAAAGGGGCAGGAGACCTTGGGCCGAAGGTCTCGGGAGCCACGCTGGAGGCTGGCAGCACCCTGGGCTGATTCGGCTGGAGGCCAGGCTGGAGGGGGGCTCTTGGGGCACCCCGGGCAGCACCTTCCCACTCATGGCACCACCCATGGGAAAGCCAGTTACCTGCACTTCGCACGGGGTGGCTGGGATGAAGGGGGGGTGGGGCATGGGCCAGATTTGTGACGGTGTGGAAACACCAAGACAACGTCCTTCCAAAGCAGTTCATCCAGACCCTAAAATTCCAAGCAGCCGCAGAAAGCGGCCGCGGGCATCTGAGCCTTCAGGTTCGTGCTGTGAGCCGCCCTGGTGCCCCCCAGTCCCGTCTATGCCAGCTCCTCGCCAGCCCGTCCCCGGTGCCCTGGTCTTTCTCGCTCCCCTTGGCGGCATCTAGCCCCTGCAGATGAGGGGCTCAGTGAGTGTTGGTGGGGTGAATCGATAAGTTAGCTTGAACTTTGCTGACCATGAGGTTGCAAGCCACCCTCAGACCAGGGCTCCATCCCTGTGCACCCCTCCCTGGACTGCAGGAGTGGGCCCTGATGCAGACAGTGCAGGCCCAGCGGCTCAAAGTGCTCACCTGTCATCCCCTGTAGTCAGGGTCCCGGCTCCCCACCCTCAGGAAGGGGGTGATGGAACCCAGCTGGCATCCAGAGATTTGTCTGTCCAGACATTTCCTTCCTTCTGACAAGCAGGAGACTCTATGTAAGGTGCTGGTCTTTTCTTTCCAACCCCCTCTCAGTCGGCAGGTAGTGCTTTAGAATTCTGCTGGCCCAAGAACATTCCAGAGCCATGAGCATAACACCAGAGCCAGCAGCTGGTGTTTTCCATTTGCATAGAAATGTCCATATTTGAAAACAAAGACTTTTCATCGTGGGTTTTATAAATCTGGCCCATACACTCCAGGCTTTTCTCCATTATTTCCCTCTGTAAAATGATGGGGAATACAATTTGCTAAATAAAAAGGCATAAATTAAAAAAAAGAGCTTCGAAGGTCGATTTACATAAAATACAGCTTTATTTGAAAGCGCGTCCCCGAGACAAAGTCCCTGTTTAAAATGCTTTATGGTGTTTGAAACCCCAATTGTTTTTGATATTTATTAGTTTGGCAAACAAGTTACTGTGTCCATGTCCCCTCGGAGACAGAAAAATAAACCATATCAGTGATCGCTTACCTCTAAACACGGAGACCGTGCTCCGCGGAGAGCGCATCTCCGAGGCGGGGTTACAAACGACCGTGTCACTTACAGAAAATGAAATCGGGGGAGGGAGCAAATAAATACGCCCCGAGTACAGCAGACCTGGGGGGTGGATTTGTCATATCGAGCGGTGACATTCAAATCTTTTTATTCCGCAGTGCCGAGGATTGTAATATTAGGTCCACCCGCCTCCGGGAAAACAACTATAGTAAGTGCATCATATTACGCGGGTAATACTGTAATATCTCATTTACCCTGCAGAGCCCGATGAGCTGGGCCGCCGCGGGGCCCCAGCGCCACCGAGCTGTTCTCCTCTCCCTTCTGCTTCCTAACTTATTTTCTTATTACTAGAGGCAGGATGTGGTCATAGAAAACACCTAAAATACCTAGAAAATACAAAAAAAAAAAAACAACCCACCCCACTCCCAAAAAATACAACCACCCCACCACAACCCCAAATATAATCCCCAAGCTTCCGGGGGCAAGCTTTATTTTAGCACTTTGGGAGTGACTCCCCAGGCTTGGTGAGGACGTCCTTACACCATCCTTGTATACGTTGGCTATAGCCTTAGAAGTTGCTAGAAGTAGGCATGCTGGGCAAACAGGATACACATTTCAAAGACTTTGGGCGCTGAGTCTTCTGTGTTTTCTGATTCACGCCTGAAAGTTTAACCCTGAAATGTCTCCACCTACCAGGAAGGTCCAGAAGCTACAGGAGAGATACGTGCCCGACCAGATTTTATAGGAATTTCTCACTTTGGCTTTCCATTTGATTCTCTTTCTATTAAAGAAAACACAGTTTTAAAGGGGCAGGAACACCCCACCCACCACTGTCACCCTTTTCTGGTCTTCCTCCTTAGTGCTGCTGCTGTCTGGGGCCTGGGTACTTCGTTCTCGTTGCAATTTGATCATGAAGCTCCTATTTAAAGTGCCAGGCACTTGTTAGAATTTTAATCACCTGCCACGGACTCTTTCTTTCTGTCCTTTAATCATTCTGGTCCTTGAGCATCGGCGAGCACTGGCTAACCCTTCCTGCGGGGTCTCGTCGATGCTGGGAGCAGCTGCCACGGGCTGGGGTGAGGTGGCAGAGGCTTTCCCTGGTGGCCCAGCACCTTGCTGTAGTCTTCAAAGGAATCAAAGTGCTTGCTTCCTGCAGAAAATCACTTATATCTGCTCTGCTTTTGGCATTAGTATTGCTGTTCTGTTCATCCATGTTTCCATGTTTCCATGTGTCCATGCATGCATGCATGCATCCATCCATCCATCCAGAGTCTTTCTACTTTGTTCCCACCTGAATCTCTTTCACTCTTAGAAGCCAGGGCCCCAGGCCAGGCAGTCGGCAGCATTACCAGAGTGCTTTGGGAAAGCAGGTCGAGACTCCTCTCCAGCCCTTCCACCAAATCTCCTGGGGCAGGGCCCAGAAAACCAGTTGAAACTGCCCAATGGTGGCCCCCCAGGATCCAGGGTGGCCGACTTCACGGGGAAAGACAAGGCCCGGCACTGTGCTACAGGGCTCGGCGTCCGGGCTCCTGTGGGGGTGCCTCTGCAGCCACGGGGCGCTCCAGGCCTTTGCTGCCTGCTGGCTCTGGCTCTGCTCTGAGCGTGGGAGGAGGCTGCTGGGTGGGACCAGAAAGCACTTGCGACTCAGCGCTGACACCTTGCGCTGCGTCCCAACATGGCCAGGGACTCTGTCTCCCCCGCCCCCTGTGAGGTCAGCTGGTGTTTCGGCCACAGGCCTTTGCTGCATTCACTGTCCAGCCCCAACCCACGACAACTTGGGGCCCGGCAGCCGCTGGTTTCACAGTGAGAGAGGGGGCCATTTCCAGAGGGCACTAAAGGGGGATTGGCTGGAATCATCGCTGATGTTTCCCAGGCTGAGGACAGAGAGAATTAGGGTTTGCCCCTCTTGGGGGATCTTCAGGCCCTGCTGGGTCATTCTGATGAGTGTCAGCACAATTCGGCTATTGAGAACATCTTATTGCATGATTATTCCTTAAATTCTCTTGCCTTGTGGACTGTGGACAGCAGGATGCATGAACAGTGGCCAGAATATGTCAGGTAGCCCCACTGAGGTCCTGTTCCTGCTTTCCTGGCTAGGGGCCCCTCTGGAGTGGGCGGCTCAACCCCACAGGGCTTGACGAGGCTTGACAAGGCCCGTGAGGGCAGCTGTGCTCGGGGTATGGGCCCCGGGGGCCTCGCTGGCTGGGTGGAGGAGGGATGCCCACGGGCTGAGTTCTGAGGCCAGGGCACCTCCAGATTCGTCTCACTTGGTGGCCTTCTCTAGCCAGAGTCTTGTGTTCCTGGGGCAGCTCTGCCAGTAAGACTTGGGTAATTAAGCCTGGAACTTTCGTCTTTCCTCTCTCCAGGCCATGTGGCTTTGCAAACACCTGAGCAGCAATCTCATCACCATGGACAGCCTGGTAGCCAAGGAATTCCCTTTTCTGCCTGCAGCTGCCCAGGCATATTACCAGAAAAATAAGGTAGGCCTGGCTCGGGGCGGGAGTGGGCCCCAGGGGACCGAGCTCCCAAGGGCCCCTCCAGGGCAGGCTCAGCTTGTTCTCTCTTTCCTTTTGGATGAAGTGAGACGGTGCCGGGGAAACTGAGACCCGCGCAGGGGATGATGGGAGGAAGGAGATCCTTAAGTGGCCTGTGTCGGCCAGGAAGTGTTATAGAGCAACCCTGATATTAAACGGGTTCCTGGCTGTGGGTCCTCACCCGCGCGCTTTAAAGGGACTTATGAATACTCTACTACAGACACACGCAAAAGGGTTAATAAAAGGTTTATTTACAAGAGAAAAAGAAATAAGGAAAATATACAACTCAGGGAGAAAATAGGGAAATAAAGTCTTTAATGCGTCCTACCCGATCCGACGACCTGGAAACCCAAAGTCACTCTCAGAGCTGGCCGGACGCTGCGAGCTGGCGGAGAGCCAAAAATGGAGAGCCCCCCAAAACCCACGTGTCTGCCTTTTGTATCCACCTGGCTGCTTAACCCCACCCTCAGGTCCCAGCCACCTTCCCTTGGGTGGGGATGGGATGTGGAGTTCCCAGTGTCTTTGGCTTTGACCTGGGGTGGGGGTGGAGTCCACAAAGCCTGTATGGAATTTGCTTTGGGACATCCTTTTCCCCCTAACAGAAGGATGGCTGTTAGAGGGGGGAGGCGCGTGTGCAATGGAGCCAGGCTGGTCCTTGTGCTTGGGGTCAGTTGAGCGTGCTGGGTGCAGGCGGCGGGCTGCACCCCACGGATGAGGCACCTGAGCTGACGGGGTTTATAGGCAGGGGGACTGCCTCTGCATCTTGGGGGGCATTTCCCTGCAGCACCCCTGCCACCCCTCCACCCACCCACTCTGGCCCCCTCACCAGAGTGGGACAGCGGGGACAGCGGAACACTGACCGGAAGGGGAGCGGTGGCCAGGTCCTCTGGCCCCCTCCCAGGTGGCACCCTGGGAGCATTAGGTTGTTTCTAAAATCTCCCCGCCCTTCACTAGAGGGAACTGGAGGCCTGGTCATGTTCTGTCTTTAAATACAATGGGAACTTTGACATAGGTCTTTGGAGTCCCTGGGGGCCCCATAGTGCCTTGGCTGTTTGGCTCTCGCAGCGGGATTCCAGGACTACGTGGTTAGCCAGTTCTCAGCTTGCTTAATGCAGAGGCTTGCCGGCCCCAGGCTGTCTGGCAAGCACCTGCCGAGTCTGGCCGAGTCTGGCCGGTGTCAGAGTCTGTGGCTTTAGGAAGAAGTGCTTTTCTCGTTTTCTGCAGAAGTCCAGCTCTCCAAGGTGGGGAGGCCGGCGCGTTTCTAGGATAAAAACACGTTTATTAAATTTAGAAAAACTCAACAGCGAGGAGGGAATTTAAGGAAATTCCTCCTGGGTTTCATTTCACTAATTACCAGCATCTTTCAGGCCGCATCCGGGTGTCTTGGTGTCTTGTTGGGGGCCTTGGCTCGACAGCTCAGTGGCAGGAAGGTGAGAGGGGAGGCTACTGGGGCTGATCTGAGCGGAAAAGGTAGTGCAGGCTGAGTGGCCAGGGTGGCCTGGACCCGGGCTGCCCGCCGTGGCCCTCCGTACGGGTCTGCTGATGCAACCTTCCCTGCTCTTTTTGCCAATGCCAAGAGCTCCTCCAAACTCCTGGTTTTCTGCTGTCGACCTGGGCTCTCCCCTCCTGTGCAGAACTCTCTCCTGTTGCTGGGGTGCTTCAGCGTCTCCTAAAGGTTTCACAAACTTCCCGGTCACCAGCTGTGTGTGGAGACCCACAGACGGAGGCCTCTCGTGCCCTGGGCACTTCCGGCCAGCGGGGAGGAGGCCCCCAGCAGGAAGCCCTTCTCGGTCCCTGGGGGCTGCGGCTTCACTTTCTCCCCAGGGCTCTCTGAGCCCTGCCAAGTCCCAGGCGCTAGCTCTAGGCCGGGGAGAGGGAGGGGCTGCGGGATTTGGGGAGCCCTAGCCACAGGGGTGCTGAGCCAGGCGTCCCCGAGGGGCTCCACTGCGACGTGGGGTGGGGATGGCCCCAGGCTGCTGGGGGTCCACAGCCACAGGGAACGGACGGAACGTGCCTGTTGGTTCCTGTCCTTGTGAAGTCTGGCCGAGATCCTCAGAAGCCGCGAGAATAGCGCGAGGCCCCCTCCCAGGGCTTCCTGCAGCCTCGACTCCTGGCAAGCCAGCTTCATGGCCGCCCGCGCCGGTTATTTGCAAGCAAACCTGGACCGCGTGTGGTAGCCGTGACTCTCGGTCTGTGTCCCTGAGAGCCTGGACAGACGAGGAGCGGGCCCTGACCGGAGATGCTCTGAGACTGCAGCGGTGGCCTCGGCCCGGGAGATCCTTGGGACCTGCCAGGAAGCCCCGGGAGGGGGGCTGCCGTCTCTGTTGCCCTCCAGGGAGGCCACAGTGACCCCCAGTGACAACGGGCCCAGATGACCAGGACCTGATAGATACCTTCGTCTTCCCTAAATCCCCCACCCCGCTTTTAACTCAGTGACCAGCCAGAGAAAGCCCAGCGGGTTCGCCTCGCCCGTCACCCGGGTCACCCACCTCCAGTCCGCCCACTCGGAGCTCGCCGGCGCCACAGCCGCGACAGGGCGTCCGCCTCCCCTAGGCAGCCCTGCCCTGTGCCTTTGTGTCTCGGGCCGGTGCAGGCGTGGGGGCAGCGCCCAGCCGGAGCCAGGTCCTCGGCTCCCCCGGCGCAGCCTCTGCCCCGTTCGGGGGTCTTCGCCGCCTTCCGCCCTCCGGGGATAGGGCCTTTTCAGTTTTCACCACGCACGTGCACATCACCGGGAAGCAGACTTCCCGGCCACCGCTCCCCTTCCGGTCAGTGTTCCGCTGTCCCCGCGGAGGCAGCGTGTCTGGGCCCCGGCGCGCCCCGGGCCCCGTCCCTCCTCTCTGCTGAGTTAATGGGGTTTTCTCTTCTGTTGTGCTCTTGTCCCTCCTGCCTCCTCTGGTCCAGCCTGTTCCTCTGGTCCAGCCTGCTCCCCACCTGTCTCACCGAGCACTGCAAAAGGCTCCGGGAGGGGGGCCCTGGGGTGCCGTGGCGGGCAGGCATGAGTCAGCAGCTCTGAGAGGCCCAGACTGCCCGAGCCTCCCCCAGCCCAGGCCCCAGCTGGCCGCGTGGGAAATGGGGGGCAACACTGAGTCTTGGCTTCCAGCTGCCCAGCGGCCACGGGGAGGGGGCAGGTCCCTGGGCAGGACATTTCTCTGCGGTGGAGCTGGCCTGGCCGCTCTGGAGCAGCGCTGGTTCTGCTTTTCAGAGAACAGAAAAGCAGCCTTCTCTGGGTCTGACTGTGGAGCGGCCTGGTCCAGAGGCGCGCGGCCTGCAGCACGTTGGTGGCCCTGGGCCCCACCAGCATCTTTTGGGCTGAAGCCAGGGAGCAGGTTCCTGGCATCAGCATTTAAAAATGCCCCCCACGGAAATCTAACGCGGCCCCTGGGATCCACTCCCTCTTCTCATTGCAGTGACTACTCTGGCAGTGCCACTGCATTCGAGCAGAACAGCCTGTGTTTGTTGAATGAATAAGTGACCCAAGCTTTGAAGGCTTGGTCGGCCAGGCAGGGCCCAGGCTGAGTTCTCCCTGACTTCAGTTTTCCATCCTGATTCCAAATGGAAAATCAGTGTCCCCCGAGATGCCCGAGTGCCCCAGCTGTCAGTCGCGGCTGCCTCCGTTCCCCGGGCTGCGCAGCTCCCAGGCCTGGGGGTGCCACACAGCGCGCACCAGCAGTCGCTGCCCCACACATCTGCTCCGCCAGGGAAGCAGCCGCAACTTGGCAGAGTTGTTTCTACTGGACTCGGATCTGCTCTCTAAGTGAGCGCAAGTCCAGCGCCTCCACCCTGGAGGCCCTTTAGTGGGAAGGGGGAGGTCAAAATGCCGCACTCCCAAGCAGTGACACCCAAAGGGGACTGGGGACACCAGTGTCCTGAGGGCGGGGCCTGCAGGCCCATGTCCTCTTGCGAAGGGGCCTGGACTTGGAGAAGTTAATGGGCGGAGGGCAGAGGTGAGGACCTGCGCGCTTGGCTGCAGCCTTTGGGGAGGGGTATGCAGGCCCCGGGCTGGCCCGAGGGAGCAGGGCAGCCAGTTCTGGCTGTGGGCAAGTGCAGGCTGGGTGTGTGGCGTGGCCACCAAGAGGGGGCACCAGGGACCGCTCCTGCTGCTGGGCTTTCTCTGTGACCAGCAGGGACGTCACCCGGCTCCTCAGTTGGTCCTTGATTCTCCCCCGAAAGCCAGGCTTTGGGGGGTTGGGGTGGGAGAGCATCACTGAGCTCTGGAAGGAGGAGGCTTGATGCCTGCAAAGACAGTTTGGCAGGGCTTCTAGAAGTGGCTCCTTGGAAACCCCGCCGCTGACATGACACATCAAAGCTGGCACTGAGACAGCGCCAGGCAGGGAGCCGCGATGGGCGCTGGGAGGGGCCACACTCAAAGCCGCCAGCCCGTCCCCCGCCGTGCCAGCTGCTGGGGGTGCTGTGCCCCACCCGGGCCTGTCGCCTTTCAACCCGAGTTCTTTGATGGGCCGGCACCCCCCCTCTCCTGGTACCTGTTTGGTCGCTGCCTCCTGAAGGGGTTGTTGGGAAGGAGAAGAATCTTGGTGACCCCAGCTCAGGATGGAGAGCGATCTGCGCGGTGGGGGGAAGACAGGAAAGGACAGAGGGGCCGGGCAGCCTGGGAAGCTTCCTGGGACAGCTGGTGGGATCTGGCACCTGCTGTCCGGCCGCTCCCCCCATGGGCGGGCTCTTGGGGGCCGGAGTTCACTTAGCCTCTGGTCTCAGGTGCAGGCCTCAGACTCACAGCACAGCAGCATCCGTTCACATGTTAGAAATGCAGATTCCCAGCCCTGCCACCCTGGGGTGGAGCCAGACATCTGTGCCTTAATGAGCCCTCCTGGGACACATGTTCAGGTTGAAGCTGGCGGGGTGACAGGGGGGCAGGTACAGGATGCAGGGGTGGCTGGGGGGGTGTGAAACCAGGCTCTGGACGCTGCCAGCCCCTCTCGCCTCTTTCCTCCATGCAGCATTTATTCGCTCACTTTCTCTCCTGCCACGCTTGCTCTTGACTTTGACTGTCCCCCTTGTAGAAGCCATCGTGGCCCCATAACTTCCAAGTGGACACATTACAAGTCAGGTGCCCCACAGACGTGGCCCCTCCCTCCTCCTCTCACTGCACTCTGTCTTCCTCTTCCACCTCCACATCCCTGGAGAGCCCCGCTAGGGCTGAGAGGCCTGGCCTCTCTCCTTTTGTGCTGGCTTTAGTGCCTCTTGCCTGCAAAGTGGCTGCTGGGGCTCCAGCTCTAATATCCTCTCGGCTTCGGCTCCAGGGGAAAGCAGGGGTTTCTGCTCCTGATGGTTATTCCGATGTTGAAGAGTCTCTGCTCTGCCACAGAAATGCTGTACCGGGCACCCTCCTTCCCCCACCCCAGCCCCCAGGCAGTGGGCCTAGTGCTTGGGATTTCTTTCTTCTTCCCATGTTCTTTTATCAGCTGTGTGAGCGGGAGTTGGGGGAGTTTGGCCCCTGATTGTGCACTGCAAAGGGAGGTGACACAGACCAGGCTTTCGTGCACTCCCTGGGCAGAGCCCCCTCTAAGGAAGGAACGTGTGGGGTTATTGGGGGTACTCAGGGTCACAATTGCCACAGCACTGAGCCCCCACTGGGGCCAGGCAAGCGCCCACTTGTCACGTGCAGCATCTCATTTAATCTCCAGGACGGCTCTGGGGAGCTCGGTGTCCCCTTTCCATTCACAAGTGCAGAAACTGAGGCTCGGAGCGCTTGGTGGGCAGCCAGGGCCCAGATTATGAAGGCCACCCTGGTGGTCCACCAGGGGTCTCTAGGAGCCATTCTGTCCCCACCCAGCCCATCCTCCTGAATCAGGATCGCTCGCCCCCAGGCCTCAGCCGCCTCCTGTAAGCCAGTCCCGCTGAACGCCACGTCCCACATCCTGCACTGCACCCTCAGGCCCTCGTCCTGCCAGCCCCGGGGACGCTCAGGGGAAGGCGTCAGGCCCCAGCCTTGAGAATCCAGGGGAATCTGAACCCACAGTGCCCCTGCCACCCCAGCTCTGCTTGTGCCACTCCCTGGGGAGGGGCCTGCCCTCGCCACTAGGCCCCGCCAACATCTGCAAGGAGCAGGCAAAGGTGGACAGGCTGTAGAGCCGCGGCCGTGGTGGAGCCGGAGCTCGGGCTGTGCCTGGCTCCCGGGAGACTCAGCAGAAGCTGCTGTCACTGTCACTGCTTGCCGAGTGAATTAAGGAGAATGAAGTTTCATTGGCTCAGTGAGGGCTTCCTATGTCCTTGACCCCCGTTTTGGTGTTGGGGCAGAGGGGTGCTGGTCAGTATTTACCAACTGGCTGGTTGGGGGAGCCCTGATTTGTAGGCCTTGCCGATTGCTGTGGTACAAACACTCCTCCCATGATGGCCGATTTCAAGCTATAGTGAGACCCTGAGCGGAGCGGGAAGGCATGTGGACAAGCCTGTAAGACTAGTCCCCCCGCACACACTGTCTAGGGGTACAAAATGGGGTACAGATGGTGAATGGGCCACTGCAATGCTGTGCAGTTAGGGTAAGAACAGAATTTGCTATCGAGGATGATGGGAGCCCTCAACCCAGCCTGAGGAGCATCTGGGAGGGCTGCCTGTAGGCAATGGCACTTGGACCTGAGGCTCAGAGGGATCCTGGAGTCACTCAGGTGGGCGTGAGGGACAGCCACTGGCAGGGACATGGAGGCTGGTTCACCCTGCGGGGGTGGCAGTCGAGAGGTGGTTGTCAGGGAGTGAAGCTCAGGGGAAAGGGTGGCGGCAGTGGGACTGGCGGAAGGAGGCGGGTGTCTGGGTGGGACTGAGGCCGAGGAGCATTAGTCTGCGACTTGTGGGAACTTCCCGTCTGCACAGTCGGGTCCCCAGGCCTCAGCTGAGACCGCGTGCCTGCAGCTGAGGGGCCTCTGGGGCTCGAGCCAGCGGGCCTCACTCTGCACCGTCTCCCCTTCAGCAAGTGCCCAACCTGCTGCTGATCAGGATGATCCGGAGACGCCTGGCACAAGAGGACTGTGTCCAGCGGGTAAGACCCTCCTGGGGCTCCCGGGACCTGGGTTGGGGGCCCCTCCGGGAGCAGGGGGCCAGGGGTCTGCAGAGAAGGGTGAAACAGACAAGCCGCCAGTGGCTAAAGGTCAGTGTGTGGACTTGAGGTCACCTTGCCTGGGGGAGGCATAAGGGAGAATCGGGCATGTCCATCGGGGCTCCTCGGGGAGAGTGATGGCAGTAGAATCTCAGGGGGCAGGGAGGGAGCTGGACACCCTGGATGGGGTCGGAGTGTGGGGGAAAAATTTAGGGGCACCCACGGATCTCCTGCCAGTGCCTCTTTGGCCAGACCCAGGGAAGCCAGAGGATAGCGTGTCGGTGGAGCAGTGCATGGAGGTCAGCCCCGGCGCCCGGAGGGGTAGAGGAGGGGGGGCCTGGAGGACTGAAGGGGTCACAGGCACAGCCACTGTGGCCTGCACACGGGCGGGTGGGCCCTCCGGGGGCCTTACCGGCTCTGCTCAGCCCTCAGGCGCCCTCTTGCTGCACCATCCCGCGTCTCAGATGAGGAAACAGGATCGCTGGGTGGTTGCAAATGTCTTCCCCGAGTCCAGCTCACGCCCAGCCACCTTCCACAGAGCAGATGTCTCCAGTTTTAGTGAAGTCCCATTTGTCAACAATTTGGCTTTTTTTGAGTATTCCATTGTAATTATTTTGTGGGGTTTTTTTTAGATTTGTTTTATTTATGCATGCAAGAACTGGTTTGTAGGCCGGATGTGCGGGGTGGTGGGGTGAGAGGATTCACCAGAGACAGAGCGGGGAACAGAACAGGCAGGTTGACCAAAGTACACTGCTGAGGGGCGCAGCGGGCGAGTCAGGAGAGGTCTGCTGCGCCGTGTGGGTAGCTCCCTGGTGGGGGATCGAACTCATGCTGCAGTGGCCGCGGACAGCTTCAGAGTGCCGGACAGCTTCAGCTTTGTGGTTTTTGCTCTGTCTCTACATCTCTTTGTGTGGGTTTTAATTTTTTGGCCGGCCTAATAGTTACAACATATAGACTTAACTTTTCCTTCTGTTCAGAATCAGTCTTGCCCCCTCGCCGTCAGACGGCCCCACCCTCCCCGCGCTTGTCTGGGGTTTTACGCCTGTGTATGTGGCACAGCCCATCAGGCAGTGCCGTAATTTTGGCTTCCAACCGTCAAGCATATTTCAGAGAACCCCAGAGGAGACGCCTGTTCTCCTTACCCGGCCGTGGCCCGCTTCCGCCGCTCTCCTGGCATTCCCAGCGTCCGGGTGCCCTTCTCTCGGGAAAGCTTCTTGCAGCCCGTCTTGCAGGCCGGGCCAGCTGGCAAGGAGTCTCTTACTCGCCCTCGTCTTTGTTTTCCTGCTTTCCTGAAGGACATCGTTTCTGGGCTCAGAATCCTAGCCGGACAGCCTCTTGTTTCAGCACGTCACAAACGTCCCGCTAACATCGGGCCTCTGGCTTCTGACAGAAAATCCGGTCACTCAACCGCTTCTAAGCAAAGCGTCGGTTTCACCTGCTACTCTGAACCTTGTTTTTCATTTTCAGCAGTTTAATGGTGCTCTGCCTGGGCGTGATCTCCTGGGTTTACGCTTTTGGGGGTTTGCTGGGCTCCTTAAATTTATAATCTTCTGTTTTTCTCCAAACTTGGGGCGTTTTCAGCCATTATGTCTTCGAACGATTTTTTGCACCTCTCATTCTCTCCTGAGTAGCCCCCAGCACGGGTGTTGGACTCTGTGATGGTCCCACAGTCCCTGGAGCTGTACCCCCTCCCTTTTTTCTCTTTGTTGATAAGATCTGATAACTTGCGTCCGACTGTCTTCCAGTTCTTTGCCTCGGCGCAGCGTCTGCTTGGGGAAGGAGCCTCTCGTGGCCAAAGCGAGGCAGGGCGTGAGGGGGATGGGGAAGGAGCAAAGGGGGCCCAGGGAAGCCTCTGGAGGTGGGGGTAGGGGGCTCGGCTCGGCAGCGGGAACCCCCACACCCGTATGCTTCCCCAACCAGCCGTCACCTTCTGAAGAGTTTCCCCCTCTTTCATCTGGGAGATGCTGACGGAACCATTTGCCCTGGAATGAAGGGAGGGGAGAGCATGGAAGCGACTGGAAACTGCCAGCACTTTCTCTACAAAACGCTCTCCGCCTTAATCCATAATTGATGGAGAGTTTGCCAAGTTGAATTAAACTCTTGCGTTGCGGAGCACCAGGGTGGACACCTCGGCGCAGCCGCCTCCTCTGCGCCCTGTGGAGGTGAGCCGGCCGCTCCCCTGCGGCTCGTCCCACCCGGCCCAGTGCCAGCGCGAGGTCTGGCCGCCTCGGCGGAGGCCCCCAGCACCTTGGGGCCAACTCGGCCTGGCACACCCTGTGCCCTAAGCTCCTGGAGTGGGGCTGTGGGTACAGCGCTCTGAGGCACCACACCCCTGGGACCCGAGGCGAGCTTCAGCCCCCCTCCCAGGGAGCAGCGCTGGCGAGGGGCCCCAGGGCGTGGGGCTGTGGCTGTCACTGGTGATGGTGACGGCGGGCTGGGCATTTGGGGCCGAGTGCCCACCTGTGAGCTCACCCGTGAGCTCATCTCATCTTAACGGAGCCCAGCGGAGGAGGCCGCGACCCCCGTCTGAGGGGTGCAGAATCAGAGGCTTGCAGAGGTTGTGTATTTTGCTCAGGGGTCACGGACAGTCCCAGAACTGAGATGCGGACACGGAGTCCCGCTTGGCCCACTGCCTTCTGATCCCGCGAGGCACACGTGTGCCCCCTCCCCCGCGGGCTTCACTTCCTGGGGCCTCCACTTTCCCACCTGTGAAGCGAGGGGCTCCGCATGAGCATCAAAGCCCCTCCAGCCTCACCTTCCACTCTGATGGTGGCCAAGCCACTGCTGCCCGCAGAGCAAAGACATCTCTCCTTTAATTTGTTTTAAAATCTCTTCTGAGTTTCAAGGGGCAACCGGGCACCTTTTCATCTCTTCCCGCGGAGACAGGATTTCGGCAGGAAGAGGAGAGGTGCCTTAATTATGTGCTTTGGTTGTTCAGGAACAAAACAAACTCTCATCCCGAATAAACAGGCTTTCTTGCTTTTAAGGGAGAAAAATGACACATATGCATATTCATTTATATGGTAATTATGATTATTTAGCTGCACAGGGACTGGAGTTGGTGATTCAGAGCACAGGAAGGATGCAGGGAGCGTGTTCAGGGAAAAATAATGCAAGCGCAGCCCATCAGGATTCTGTAGTTAATGTTGGGGGGTTTTCTCTCCTTTCTCTCTCTCTTTTTTTTTTTTGGTCTAATGCAGTCTCTTTGAAGAATTCCTTTGAAGTGACCAGCAAAGGTGCTGGGGGAAGAGAAATTAGCACTCAGTGTGAGAGCAGGTGGGCTCTGCCTGCTGGGGGCCTCCGGGCCTCTGTGGGGGACAGACAAGTTCTTGGGGTCCCGGGGCCCACTCATGCAGACCTCAGCTCTTGGGCTAAGGGGGTGCCTAAGAAATAAGGTGACAAGCTTGGGGCATCTGGGGGGAGGCGCTATACCAAAGCCATCCACCCTGTCCCAGTGCATCTCCCCCAGCTAGCTGGGCTTCTTCCTAGTCCTTGCTCCCTGTTGCTCCCCACCTGCCCCCAAGAGGCATCGTGTGAGAAGATGGATGCATTTATTTCTTGGCGGCATTTCTTCAGATGGGTCAACTTCAAAAGCCCTCCTCACGCCCATCCTCCAGCCAATGGTCCCCAGCCTGGCGGTGCCTGATGGGAGAACCTCCTTCTGAAGATTCCATGGAGGCAGTTTGTCTTTAGAAACAAATGTATCGCGTCCCCCATGCCGCTCCCTGCTGGGCCGCTGCCCCCTGCAGCCTCCCCCTGACTGCCCGCCTCCCTCATGGCCTTTCACACCCCACTCAACGCCATCAAGCCAGGACCCCTGCGGTTGTCAGGCCGAAAGAGTGGTTCAGGGCGCGTGTCCCCACCCGGCGCGTGAGCCTCAGCAGATGTCCCTCCGTCAGAACCAGCCAGTGGCCTTCCCAATCTGGGGGATGGATCGGTGGGCACCAGAGCAAGGCCCTTGCAGTCAGCAGCCATGCCCCGCCCCCACCCCGCTACCCCTTCCTGCCTCCCCCCACCCCCCCACCCCCCCCCCCCCCCCCCCCCCGCCCTGTGGCCTTGCATTGGCCTAGAACCCGCTGGAGGAGGCTGGAGGAGCACCGTGAGCCTCTGGGCCCTGAGGGCCGCTGCGGCCAGCAGGGAGCCGGTGCCAGGAGGGAATTCATGCAGCAGCTGGAGGGAGCTGGGAAGTGACTCTTCCTCAGTTGAACCTGCAGATGGGAACGCGGCCCAGCAGGCAGCAGCCTGGCTGGGGACCCCAGGAGACGGCCAACACGTGTTATTTTCGCGGCAGGGGAGTGCGCGGCACAGCGCTGGAGAGCTGGTGCGCTCTGGCCCTTCTCACTGGCGGCTGCGCCCCTGCCGCCGCCCCCCGGGCTGGACAGCATCTCCTCACGCCTCCAGCTCAGGGCTGAGTCATTGCCCTGACCCCCAGCCCAGCCCGGAGGAGGCTTGGCATCCCCGGCACATCCACAGCTGTGATGGGGTGTGCAGGCTCCGTGAGGGCGGGTCCCCAGCATCTCACGTTCCCCGGGCACAGACGCCCAGCCCGGGAGGTGTCCGGGAGTGAGCGAAGGACTCGGCGGACCCCCCATCCCTCCATCCTGCGGCCTGAGGTCTTCTCCGCTCTGTTGCCACGGAGGGAAGGGGTCTGCAGTCCCAGAGGGCTGCGTGGTCAGGTCCCAGTGTCCTGCGGAAGGTCTCGGTTGTGACCCAGGCTTGGCTTCGCGTGAATTGTGGGGATCCGTTCAGGGACTTTCCCCGTCACACCTTAAAGCTGCTTCCCTCCTGGAGCTTTCGAGGGTCGTTTGGCCCCGGCCACCGCAGCCTGACCAGGGAGGGCGGCGGCCACCGCAGCGCTGGGCTCAGGGCTTCGGCAGCCGGTTCCTTCCGGCTTCCCTCACCGCCCTGTGCCAGGCCCCCTGAGTCCGCCCTTGTCACGCTGG